TGTATGGGCAATTTTAAAATTAAAATTAATCTACCTACTTTAATTTGTTCAGAATCTATAGCGATTTTCACAGACGGACTTATCAAGAATATATATACTAATACAATTTATATTTCGAGGTGATACAAACCGATTGACAAACTTAATATACCCTCCATACTCTGGTGGAAGGTATAAAAATAATATTGTCAAACTGTAGCTTAATTTTCAAAACGCAAATCACATGGAAAAAAATCAATGACTTAAAATTAGTCTTTAACTTAAGATGACACACTGACTATAAAAGCAGACCGTAATCAGACCCAAGTTGAATAGTTATGGCAAAGAAGATTCAATTTAGAATATCGCAAAAAATCTTTTACTGATGATTTTCGGAGTGACAACGGAAAGTTAATTTTGATTATTTGCGCATCACGTAATTTACAGTTATATTTTATTCTGGAATATATGAAATATTCTTCAGTTGTTGATATTTTTAATACTTTAGGATTGAGTGACTTCAATATTTGCACTCATTCCCCTGAAACAACATAGACGACATTATGCGTATGGTATTTTTTTTATATGAACAAGTGTCTTATAAAATTCTATGTAGTTAGAATTACAACATACAAATTGTATGAATCTGAATTAGATATCACGAACATTAAGAATATTTAGTGCTGAACGGATCCATGTAAAAACACTTTAGTGGAACAATCGAGAATTTTTGAAACCAAAATTGATTGCAGAGTTTTGACATTCTACTAGAATATTTTCAACTTTGATAAGCTGACCACAGAAAGCATTGTATTTTCTAGGGATATGAAATCGAGTATTTATCTGATGCCCAAATTGATTGCAGAGTAATGACATTCTACTAGAATATGTTCAACGTTCATAAGCGCACCACAGATCGAACATCGAGCTGGAATTGTATTTTCAAAATAGTAGCGAGTGTTAAATAAGCATTTGCCAATCCTGAGTCGGGCTAGAAAGATACAATCGGATCTACATAAATCTGGATTTAAGTTAATCCTTGGACGAAGACTGTCAATATTGTAAGACGAAATGAAAACAGGGCGTCTCTGCTATATGAGTACTAATCAATGCTTCTTGCACCATCTTATCGGCGAAAACGACGATCTTACACTGTCATATCAGTTTAGAATCTTCTTTTGTTTTGGAGGGTCTTTATATATTGTTTGGCTTGGACTATGGCCCTTTTTACAGCACCCAGTTCCACTGTGAATATACCTGTATAGTTTGACAGTAACATTTACTAAGAAGTTACAAAAAAAAATACGACTTTCTCTCGAGAGAGAAAAAATGCAAAAAATAAACGGACAGCATTTCGAATTTTTTCGAACATTTGTAAGGTAACAGCTGCTCGATAAAAACAACTTTGGAGCAAATCTTAACAACATAAATATGTTTATGCAGTTTATTGTTTTTATATTTTCATTACGAAAAATTAATAATAACCGTCTGCAACAAATACCTATTTTTCCTGGATCTCCAAATGATATAAGCGTGGGTGATGGTGTTCTCCTAAGTGAACCAAATATCATCATCCACTCTTTATTTATTTTTTTTTTTTTTCATCTTTACTTACGTTTTATTTGTCCATTTTTGTTGATAAATTCAAGAGCTTTTTCCTTCAGAAATAGATTGTTTACAAAAGAACTGAGTATTGAACAGTTGCTGCATGGTAGAATTACAAGGTAACCCTTTCAGGCCAGCTGTAGTCAACTTGATATGTCAAACAAGTTGTTGTAATTCGAATTCGCCGTATAAATACATAACAGAAATTCAAACATCATAGAGGAAAAAATAAACACAAAAATATAAAAATCAAATTTTGTGATATAATTCAAATAAAAAAACAGAATTTGAGGTGCTGTGCTGTTTGCAAAAGAAAGGATAGTGAACGACAAGCAACATTTTTCAATGTACCCAAGGAAGAGACGAAGAGGTTGAAGTGGAGTGCGATTTGTGGGATCACTTTAAACCCAAACGCCAAAATATGTTCTCATCACTTCAACCCAAAGTATATAACGGGCATAAGTTGCAGAATGAAATTATTACCATGCGCTGTACCAGAGATGTATCAATTCTATTCTGGTGGTTCAAAAAAGAAATGTCCAGGGTACGTATTTGCTAGAAGTGAGAATATACATTAAATATATAAAATACGGTGTATATATAGCGGAGCCCAATGCAAAGAAGTCGGGATGCTTCAGTGTGAGGCTGGAATAAATAAAAATGACAAAGAAATTGTTATGCCCTACCATATCACAGAACCATTAATGAAAGATGCCGAAACACAAATAGAGTAAGCATTGTTTGGACATCTCCACACACACACACATTAAGTCTTCCATGGTAGGTACATGTACCTCCTGATACTCCGTATTTCTATAATTATTCGTTTATATAATTTTGCTTATAGCTCAGTAATTTTTGTTTCGGAGAATTATGTAAAAGTTCTAAGGAAGCTCCAAAACCAAGTCAAAGATTTGGAATTGCAACTCCTGAAGGCGAATTCGGCACTAAAGTCATTGAAAAACATATTTAGCAAAGGCCAAATCAAAAAACTGGAGACCAATAGCAGAGTAGAGTGGGAGTGGGAGGATATTTCAAATGCCATATGTCTGCACGCTTCCGGCCCTTTGTGGGGGAGGTACCAAAAGGAATGACCGGCAACACTCCATATTTACTCCAGACATTGTAAAGATAAAATTATTAGTATGTGTGAAATTTAATTAGAATCCGATGTATATTTTGCATTCTATGAGCATTTTAATTGTTCCAAATTTGGGCCCTTTGTGGGGGAGGTACTAGAAGGAGTAGTCCAATCTTGTCCATTCTCCCACCCAATCTTGGGGTAATGCAAATATTACGATTTGCAAAGTTTGAAGAAAATCCCACAATCCGTTATCTTTATATGCGGTAAATTATTTTCAATGAAAATGTTGACCTTTTGTGGGGGAGGTACCAGGAGGAGTAGACCGATATTGCCCATCTCCTAACTCGATCTAAGTTTTACAAAAATACTACGATGTACCAAGTTAGGACCGAATCGGATGCTCCCTTCGAGAGTTATCGTGCGCACCAGCCAGACAGACGGACGGACAGACATCGCTAGATCGACTCCAAATGTCCTGAAACGGATTTGGTTCAAAGAGACCTAGGGTCTAAAACCGTTATTTCGGCTAGGCACGTTTTGACCGTATCAAATGATATATACCCTCTTTAGCCATATGGCTGAGGGTATAAAAACATTAAGTTCGGCCGGGCCGAGCTTTGAATACCCTCCACCATTACCTAAGAAAACATTTTTATACAAAAAGTATCTGGATTCAAACATGTTCCACTTTAAACTACAAATACGACTGAGATCGGTAGGAGAATGCAGTTAAAGATTTCAAATACCAATAAAGTGTGTGGAACCGTTACATTGGAGTCATACCAAAACAGGAACCTATATAGACATATTTATACTAAGTGGATTTCTATCTACTGCAAGTTTTAAAAATACCAAATTTGAAACAATTCCGTGGGTAAATGTGACTAAGATCATTAAAATACAGTGGGGACCTTTATATTGTACACAATTCCGATAGATCCACCGTAGTTACACACAGGTTTAAATTCACAAGTTCCACGCATATATGTACATTTATTATTTACTCACTTTTAATGGCAAAGCATCAACCCTAATTCTAATACAAAAGGATAACTTGGAATCTTTACACATTTCTTAAAAACCTATATCTAATGCTACAAGGAGAATTATTTATTTTATTAAGAGAATACAAAATAAGTGATAACATAACATATATTTTGTATTTTCGCACTGGATTCTGTGCTGTTAAAAATGTCGTGAGGGAGGAACCGGAAGGAGTGGGACGACATTGCCCATCTCCGCATTATGTTTGTTAAGAGTTTTGCGATGCACTATGTTTGGATGATGATCCATTCTACAGCTATCGTACGCACCAGCAATACAGACGGACGGGGCGCCTCCAAATGTCCTGAAACGGATTTCGTCGAAAGAGGCGTTATTTCGATCAGATACATTTTGGTCATATGAATTTATACAGACCTTCTCTAGCGATATGACTGATGGTATAATACGTATACACTTCCAGTTATTGTAGTATTTTCAGTTTATATGTTAAAAAATATACTAATCTCAACTAATATATACATATGAATAAACAAAAATAAACTTATCCAATGTTTCAGAATGAAGAGTTCTGATTGGTGCAAACCAATTTGCCCCAAATTTTATACTTCAAATAAATTCGCCCTGGTTAAAACTTTGACATATCAAGTTTCTAAAAAAGTTGCTTTGTTGTAATTTTCGCCTATGTTGCTACCTGGTATTTCTACCATGAGTTGCTGTTACTGGATAATTCTTACTGGGGAAATTTTCCCAGTAAACAAATACTTACTATAGCTCTGTTCCAGAACCTGCCAGAATCTACAAGTTTTGAAATTTTTTTCGTTATCATTAAGGGAAATTCGTTTATAGTAGTAAAAACTTTAATATTCATGCAGTTCTGGAACAGACCAAATTTATTTTGCCCCTTATAATACATTGGAAGAGGTATCACTTTCCTTGCAGAAGGTCACCAATGTGAATAATCACTATATTATTTTTATAATGCATAATTATGTATATGTTACAAAACATCAGATGACCGGCATTTATATCCTCCTAAGGGTGTATTTAAACGCACTAGGTTAACCCAATGAATCTATTATAAATGAGTGTTAGGAAGATAAAGTCATGCAATCATGTGATTGTTTTTCGACGGGATTGAATAATTTTTGGATTAATCAACTAAATGTATTAAATCCAGAGGGGCTAGCCCTCAGTGCTGTAAACGTACCTTAAATTTTAGGTGCTGCCAGTAAGTTTAATAATCGATAATCGCAAATCCGATTATTATTATAGTTGGCAATGCGATCTGCGATGTATTTTGCGAATGTTATCGACTTTTCATCGCTAATTTGACACCGCTAGAATCGAAGAAAAAATACCAAAGACAAAATAAGCGAAGAATAGTTTTTCAACGAGAATTTTCAAAAAATAACTAAATGATTGTATAAAACGCCATGAGTAGTCGGTAATATCAAAGGCATATATTATGGCTCGATATAAATCTGTGTAAAAAATATAAAAGGGTAATAATCAGTGGGTGTCCGACTTGAGACCATTGAAGAGCTACAACAATCTTAGAAAACAAACTGTAAATGTTACAACCTACAAGGCTGGATTATTACCAAGAAGCTGTTTTTCATTGAGAGAAACATCGTCTAGTTGTTGAGTTCTGCAATTTTTAAATATTCTACACTCCTCCGCCAAATAATCATATTCTAGTACCGTTCAGACGCCCCACCCCCACCCAAATAATAAATACATATGTACATAGGCGACGGCGACGTTGGGTTAAGCCTACAAGCGATGACAAAATTTGGTGACTGGTAAGTTTCACATGTTCTTTTTCCAGCGAATTGCAAATTTCTCTAATGACATTGTGTTCAGGTTTTCTGCTCAACGTGGTACCCCATGAATAAATATTTGTTTAATTCCATTATTTAATTATGAAATTCTTATCAAATTTGTTAGTGCCAGCCATTTGTTGATCTTGTTATGTACACACTCTAAGACAAGGTCTCAGTACAACACGTATTCTGCCGCTGTTACGTTCATTCAAAAGAAAAGAGTTTAGGGAGGCTTAAATATATGCTTGTTCTATCTTTATAAAAATTGGTTAATCAATTGGTACATTGATATCATGGTTTTCGATCCATTTCAATCTTCTAATGACAGTCACGTCTGCCTGCACAGAGGACTGCCTCCTAAAACAACTAAAATTTATATTTGAGCAGAATAAATGTAAGTTAAAATTCTGCAGCAACTGCAGCTATTTGCGTGGCCACAACTGTTCTGTTGCTTTCCACATATTGTTAATGTAAGTGTGCAATGTTGACCTAACTTTGCTGGTACTTGGTTTCTCTGTTCTTTCTCTTTTGTGTCTGCATCTGTGCATCTTAAAACATCTGATCACAAGTGGGTGAACGGTTGGAGTAGCAGATTATATATTGTAAGTGTTGCTGTCTCCAGCATATAAAGGAAATGCCATAAAAAGTAGGTAGTCGGCGAGTCTTTTAAAATTAATTGTGTGGCTGTGTGTAGCTGCTACTGTTTACAAGTATGTTCGCCGAGTAACCCATTCAAACTGTATAAAGTTATCTCCATTCATGTAAACATATTCTATGACGCCAGTGGTTCAGCAGAATGTCGCTAAGTCCATTTGTATCAATATACAGTTATTTAAATTATCGGTTGATTGTAATTATGAGGAGCGAATGCTACTTATGAGGTTCCTTTAAATAGCTGTCTTTGATAAGATCTTTAAAAAATGTATGAACAAAGTCATTAAACTTGTTAAGCTTGCATAAGGATACGTATTCACTCTTTGTAACGTTAAACTCTATAACTCGGATAAGAGTTTGGTGGCATATTAAACTCGTAATACTGTTTGGTTCACACAAATAAATAGGAAACTACGGAAATACAGGGATTGGTTGTAGTAAAAAAACTGTATCTTTACAAAAAGGTTGAGAATGTCAAACGTAGTATGAAATACGAAGGAACAAAATACTATGGTTTAAAGTAGTTGTAGTATATTTATATTAATATTTTGGACCTAACTAATATTCCTTGTATGTTTATATTTATTTTAAAATGTAATAATTATTATTCTACTGTTTTTTAGAACCACTAATCACGTGTGAATAAAGAGAAGACGCCACGTATATGTCCAGTGGAATTCGTTGACATCAAAAAAGAGAACAAGAAAGACATTGATTGCATTTATTAGTCCAGAATACTTCTATTAAGATATAACTTTAAAAAGAAAATCGAAAACTTATTTAAATCCTTAGTATTACGAACACATCTGAAATACTACCACAACAACTACATAAAGCTACAGATTACACATTAAAATGGGTAATAAAAATTCATGTTGTGCCTACTCGAGTCCACAATCGGACCGAAAGTCCAAAGATATACCGCCCGTCTATGAGGAACGTCATCATATACACCAACACACCTCGCAACATCATCTAACAGATGGTGTAGTTCACACAGCATCTACCGCTGCCATACACCACAATCCAGAAATGGTGGACAATTCACAAACTCTACAGCATATATCAGAGCGCGAGGCGACAGAGGGAGAAGAAGACCCTTCTGTTGACCCTACCGCAGCCACAATGTTTCTCGAACGCTCAAAAGTGGAAAACGGGGGCATTACACGCAAACGATCTCAGCACCAAATAGCACAGCACAATTCTTCCGGTGGCTTGAAAAAGTCTTCTTCGTGTTCCACGATATACTTGGATGACAGTACAGTGTCCCAACCGAATTTAAAGAACACCGTCAAATGTGTTTCTCTAGCCATTTATTATCACATAAAAAATCGTCAATTTGACAGACGTCTAGATATTTTTGATGAGAAACTACATCCCTTGACACATGATCCCGTTCCCAATGATTATGATTCGCACAATCCCGAACACAGACAAATATATAAGTTTGTACGTACTCTATTCAATGCGGCCCAGTTAACTGCTGAGTGTGCCATCATAACTCTAGTCTACTTGGAACGTCTGTTAACTTATGCAGAACTGGATATAGCTCCTTGCAATTGGAAGCGCATGGTTTTGGGTATGCATCTAAAGTGTGCTTCACATTTTTTGTTTACTTATTTTACTTTCATTTTCGTTTTAGGCGCCATTCTGCTGGCCTCCAAGGTATGGGATGATCAAGCGGTATGGAACGTAGACTACTGTCAAATCCTTAAAGACATTACCGTGGAGGATATGAATGAGCTGGAAAGGCAATTCTTAGAACTTTTGCAATTTAACATCAATGTTCCATCATCAGTATATGCCAAGTACTACTTTGACTTGCGAACTCTGGCCGAAGCCAATGAACTGTCATTTCCCACTGAGCCTCTGTCCAAAGAGAGGGCACAGAAACTGGAAGCAATGTCACGAGTAATGCAAGATAAGGTTACAGCAGAAGCTTTGAAGAATGGCATTAAGAAATGGTCGTCTATGGACAACATAAGCCAAGGTGGACCTAGGCGTAGTGTAGCTATTTTATCGTGATTTTTATTAGTCTATTAAGATGTAAGTATAATGCAATAAAAAAGCCCGAATCTATGTATATTAATTGTAACATTATAGTTCATTGTACACTTCACTGTAATCTAGAATTGAGATCTAAATATCTCTAGGACTAGTGGAATATTTTTACAATCCAAAAACAGATGTTATTTTCTGAATATTTCCGTCAGGCCTGCAGAGCTGTATATATGTTGGCTCCAGTATTTCCACAACATGACAATTTTTCTGTCAATTTGTATTAAAATCTTTTAACCCTTTCAGTGTCAATGAAAATTTTTGTCGAGATAAAAATCTGAAATTCCGTACTAATTTACTAAAATGTGCTCAGAAATTCGAAAACGAAACTAATAGAATATAACTGCAATATTTTTAAATAGCGAACGTGTCTGTTATTAAAAAATATCAAAACTAACGGTTCGTAAGAAAAACAAAAAATGGCAAAGAAAGAGAGTACTTTTAAATGTCAAATATATTTGACAAAAACACTGAAAGGGTTAATTAGGGGTTATTAGAACCCTTAACGGTCGGCAGACTGTAAGCGGAGTGCATCAAATTGTTATTATGTAGTCTGACATAGCTATTTAGTTTATCCATAATCATAAAATGATCTGATATGGACACAATGTTATGGCCTGTTAATTGTTCGATTGAAAAATTTGAAACTTGCTCTCCAGACAGACTGACAGCTTCTTCCACAGCAAAATGGGGCCAATTTGTAACAATATAAAATTATATATGCACACAAAATGAGCTGATCCCTTTAAAGTGTAATGCTATGTGATATATGTCCAATCACGATAAATTTAACTATTAGTGATAATGGAAGTGGTATGAGATTTTCAATGTGTTTTTGCAAAAAAAGAAAAAATAAATATAATATCTTATTTCATACTTGCAATTTTATTCTTCAAATAATACAATTTTTAACATTGTTTAATCTTACCTTATATTTATTTTACAGGTTCGACAATGGTTTTGATGCAACATTTGAGGTTTGCAAACTATTTGAAAATGAAACGGAAACTAATTGCCAAAATTAAATATTCTTTTTTTGTGTGCACATAACAATTTTCTTCGATATTAAAGCGTTTGCTTAGCAAAATGCTGCTGAACACAAAACTGAATATTATTAATACGTATTAATTCAATAGCGAAACGTTTTAAAGTAGAGAAGTACACATGAAATTACTATCAAATACAAAGAACTCCAATTATCAGCTACTACAACTGAACAACAAACGCAATTTTGAAACTAGATTTTAAACCCAAAAATAAACGAAACTAATTCGTTTAAATATTTTTATGGATCATTGATTTGGCTGCTATAAGAAAATAATTAAATTATGAAACCATTTTCTTTTAATGTTTGTTTTTATTTTTATTCTTTTTTTTTTTTTTTTTTTGCATGTTAAATATTGTATTTGTATATTGAGCAGATAAACTAAAGCAAAACTTTTGTAATGAATTTATGTGATGTTTAATTTATGTTTAATTAAATTTCTGAAACTTCCTCTTGTTTATAAATACGTTTTTATTGTATTGCAATTTTATACTGTAAGAATCCGGATTCCTTAAATAAACGAATGGATTAGAAGGTATAGGAATATGTAGAAATACAATGGCGTAGTAGGTATGTGACAATAGAAAATTGCAAACATTTTAACTATGATATGAAGTTGATACACGAGTATAAGTTTATTTTAAACTTACAACCAGCGTGATAAACAAAAAATTTACGCCGTTGCAATAGGAATGATAAAATTTAATTTTAAACTGCTTAAGGATTACTAACTATAAAAGGTGACACAAGAATTTTAAATACCAAATACTGATATAAAACCAGATATAAACGACCAGGAGCATTATGTGAAGTACGTAGAAGCACGTTTGTAGTCTTAGTTTTTTAAACTTTCGGAAGTGGAATATATTGAAGAGATAACAATGGGAGAAGCCAATAACTTGTAAGTGGTAATCACAATAATTACCCAATTGTCAAAAACATATAATTTTATATTTTTTATACATAATTCTAGCAACAAATACAAGACGTTTTATTGCGCGACATGATGATACGTTGTAGATAATTTTTGTTTACTTTTTTCCAAATTTTCGTTTTGTTCTAACTAAGCACTAATTTCATACGTACATATGTACTATGTCGTCAAAATATCCATCATTGTAAGTCATAAGTAATAAATCAAATCTTGCATACTGCATACCCGACGTAATTTACGTATTCAATAAATTTAAATATTTTACAATGAAAACAAAACAATAAATAATATAAAACAAAAATCAATTTCAAATATCAACAAAGTTGTTTGATTTACTTAATGGGTGGAATTTTAAATACCTATTGAAATAAACTTAAAAAGTGGGGTGGTTCAAAATCGATGTCAATTTTTTTGGCGGATCTCCCTTAAAAAACTTTATTTTGCCAATGGGGCTTCATGTTATGGAAATCTCGATTTTTTAATATTTGGCCATCAAATTAAAAATCGTTCTCTCTCATGCCACAATTGCAAAAGTAGAACAAATCTCCCTCCTAAATACAATGTTGTCTGTCAAACCATATTCACAATTAATACATGTGCATGTATTGCTGTAAATAAAAAGTAAAATAATGTCAAATTATTTTAAATTCAGTTCCAAAAGAAATTCAAATTTTCGACGTTAACGGCCAACAAATTGTACAATTTTTGGATAAAGGATATAGTGTTACTATATAAGGTTTAATTTTGAAGAATAACTCATTCACTCATGTTTTGTGGACTTTCCAATGCAAGAATTTTGTTAAAAAAAATGGAAAATAATCAAGACCAATTTTTGCATGTGTAAATTTGACACTATACGACTCCGGTACAGAGTTGCATTTTTCCTAGTTTCTTGAAGTTGAGCAACCAAACCTACAGATGTGGCGATTTGGACAAAGAAAATAACAAAAATTGCAGAAGTGGGATGGATTCTTGTTCTGTGAAAATATAAAAGAAAAAATGTTTCCTTTGTACAATTTCTCTTTTTTATAAAAAATTTATTAGGTGTGTCTGGTTACCCTCAAATTTGTAACAATTGTTGCAAATTGTTACTGGAAGTCGTCTGTTAACAAAAGATCAGCAAAAGAGAGCGACTTGGCAGTTCTTTCGCTGAAAGTTTGCAAATTTTTGCTGGACCAATTTCTTATGCAATCACTTGCAACTCTTCTTCTCCTTCCGGACATTTTAAAACATATTTATTTTGAAAAACGCAAGCACAATTTTTTATTTTTCGATTCATTTTTAATTTTTGTGTTCTTAATTTCTCTTATTTGCGGATAGATTGAATATATATTTTTAAAAATAAATAAATATATATTAGAAACTTAAAATTCTATCACACAAAAATTAAGAAACTGATTATATAAATTGTTGTTCCCTTTTGTTATAAACATGGTAAAACTAAGAAGGTAAAGTCATTTTAAATAAGCATTCCCATCTCTGCATTTTCTGTAACTTACCTTGTCAAATTTCACTGTATAAAAATAGGATCCCATCTCTGATTTGTGTGTATACAATGGATTTGTAAATATAAATTTTGACAATGTTGTCAAATGAATAATTAAAAAAAAATGTTATATGATTGGATGACTTTACCTTTTTAATTCTACCATGGTTATAAATGTTTAATTCCCATGTACCTTGAATTTTTTGAATTTCTTTTGAAATCAAAATACTAAGTTTGTTGTCAATATAGTTTTCTCGGCAAACCTCATTGCTCAAGTATAAGGTCCCCTGCCAAACGACCTGACTACCAAATGTAATGTCAAAATTATTGTGATTGTTATCAAAGAACAAAAGATAAACTAATAGCCAACAAAATGTAAGCAAATTTTTAAGCTTCGTAAAATTACAGAAATACAGCCTTCGCTATTTAACTCATTTTAAAAAAGAGAAAAAATTTGAAAAATATGGAAAAAACTTGTTGTACATAATTTTTAATGAGTCTGTTCTACCTTCTTATTGTGCCATGGTAAAAATCAGAATAGTATTCCTTGTTGTTACCATGGTACAATAAAAAGGTCAGGTAGAGCTATCAGCTGTTTACAATTTTTGTCTAAGTGTGCCCGACTTCTGCCAATTTTTTGTATGTATTTATTGTTTTGAAAATGATAAATAATTTTTCAAAACCAATAATTGGAAGACATATACATTGCGGCTCGCGTATTAAAGTTATCAACCAGCCATGAAATTGAAAGATTGAACAGTTTGGATCATGTTTTTGAGAGAAAATTCGGTCATTTCATTCATTGTTCGCGCTATTTGACTCATTAAAATATGAGGGAAAGTATGAAAAAACAAAAATATAAAATTTTGAATGAGTTTGACAGCAAGCGGGCATAGCCTCAGGGCTGTATTTCTGTAGTTTTACGAAGCTGTTCTACCTCCTTATTGTACCATGGTTGTTACTACCAGAATTACAAAGTACAGTAAATGTATTTGTGGTATTAATCCGGGTAGATGTTTTGTATGTAAACGTACTTTAATATTGACAATGACTATCCGTACTAATTCAAGTTCGAACTTAACAATTCTCATGTAACAATAGAGATGCCATATTATTGAATATACAAGATACGAGGAGACAAACTACAATTTAAATCCGTTTTTACCGTTTTCATGATGTGTTTTTGTGTGGAGTCAAATGAAATTTCAATATTTTTTATTAAATTTTTAATTTTACAAGGTCCTCACATCATATTTTAGTATTTGTAAAGAACACCAATACAGCTGCATTTATAATTACACGTCATATAAATTTTTACATGCATGCAGAAAAAGTAGCCAATCGCATGTTTACAAATGGTCAAAAGAATGTAGGGATTCAAAACTAAAACAACTGTAAAACCCGTGTTGTCCGTAAATACCCTGATTTCCATAAAAAACATGAATAATTGGAACTCGGGACCTTCTTTGTATAAAATAAATAAATAAAACAAAAAATCCAGCTATTTTGATCTCTATATGTCAAAGAACTTTGCTGCGCCCATCATCAATTTTTGGACGATTTTTTATATTTTCATAGTTAACATTTTCATTCAGTAAATAAGTCCACAATAACCTTCCGAAAAAAATTAAAGTATATTGACAAATTGCACTAAAAATCAGCTGTGCTCTCTATTTGGTGTAGTAGACCGGTTGAGAGAAATTTGTCTAATTTGGAAACTCTACCGAGTCAATCAGTTATTTATATGCGTATGTGTGCCGATGGGGAGGATATTTTTCGGTGTAATATAAAAGTTGAATGTGTTCATTAAACTTGGATCCGTCAAGACACAAGGCTTACTAGATAAGAATTGCTGCATTAATTGCAATAAATAAAACTAAAAAGTGTAAATAAATTGATATCAAAGTTCAACAATCCCCAAATAGATTGGCAACACTAACATGTAGTGAAAATAAAATAAAGAAACGTCAAGTGGCAGAGGTAACAAGTGACGGAATTTTTTCATCTTCGCATCGGAACAAAATTTTCCTGTGATTTTAATTGTGTATATGGATAAATACAGACGGAAAATTTAATAATAAACTTTTCGCAATTTGCCGCGGCAGTGAAAATATTAGTACGACACGAAAAACTTCGAATACGACAAAATATAAAGAAAATTTGATAACATAACACATAGTACCAGAGGAAAAAAAAAACAAGAAAGTTGACAGCTAATAGCAGAGGAAGAGTCACAACACTCGCATATACACATTCACGTCTATCAATTTATTTTGAGAACATAACAAGTGATTACCAACAAGAGTGAGTGTGTGGAAGAGCGAGAGAGTGAAACAGAGTGGAAAACTATAAAAACAAAGATAGTAAAAGCAGATTTATTCGACGGAAAAATTTCGTTTTGTCAACTGCGTTAATTAATTTTGTACGGAGTCAGCAAGCGAGCGACTTTATTGGAATACCGTTCTGAGGACAAAAATAAAAAACAAAGCTGCGACACAATGGATGACACCAACAATTCATCCTCGGCTGCTTTTCAAGTTGCGGGGTAAATAAATTGCATAAATTTACAATACTTTATTGATCATCTTGTGGATATTGAGCACGGTGTAACATTAGTGAACCATCGTTATTCTTAAAAATTTAATAATATTAGATAATATAATGCGTTGCACTCAGATAACACTGCAATTTTGTATTTGCCAGTGAAAGTCTTGTTCGTCTGACGTCAAAGTTAACAAAACATTCGTAACTAAAAACATGAAATGTCTTTCGAAATATTGCATTAGATAAGTTGTAGCTGTTGTTGGGATTAAGGGTCCCGCGATTGGAATCGCCAACAAATTTATTTTTTTAGCAATCAAGTTAATTTTACGAATTGTGAATTGTCCAGGGATACCATAATATTTTATGTTTGTTGGATATGCTAACAGAATTCGCCAAATCAAAATCTCTTCATCGATTTCTTGTTCAAAATTGGTTCCCGATGTTTACGTTTAGAAAAACATTACTTCATTAGTTTTTTCTAATATACTTGGGTAACTCCGATCCGAAGATTGAAAAATACTGGTTAGTAACGAATGTGATGTGATGTATGCCAATCGTTTTTTGTGGACAATTTCACGACGATTACTTTTAGCCATATTTAAATTTTATTTTTTGTTCAGATTTTTGTCATCTTTTTTATTTCGAAGTTGAGAAATGCTCAAGTTTTGCATAGTTAACTCAACGTAATCACATCTACAGGTGGCTCATTAGTGCTACAAGCTGTGGAAAGAGTATTTTAAGCCAATGTAAATATTATTTTTTTTAATTTTTCAGAAGCAAACAAGTAATGGATGTTGCACCCACCAATAAATCACCATCATATGTTAAACTCTTGATTAAAGCTTCCAATCAGCAATATGACGACCAAATAATCGAAAGCGACCTTTCTTGGACGGTAAAGAGACTAAAGTCCCATTTGGCATTAGTTTATCCCAGTAAACCGGTAAGTATTGCAATATGTAATTATACTATATATATAAAAGGTAGGGTATATAATGTTGCAAATTCACAACTTATGCTTTAAAAAACACAATTTTATTGGAAGTATGTTGTAGGCATGCTGAGTAAAAATGAATTGATAATTTGTTTACTGTTTATATTTATTTATTGTATTTAACCAGTTTTTATGCATATTGGCGAATAAAACTGGAAGTGTGCATATTATTTTGTTTTTGTTTATCAACAGCTGTTGTCTTTCCCGTATCTACTAGAAGAAATTTCATGAAGTATATAAACATAGATTGATTTCAATGCATATTCATTTGAAAAGTGTATAAACCATTTTTATAGTTCTGGATATGTGTGACCTGTCATTTCAGAAATAGCTTCGGGCCAGACACTTCGCTTTAGGTTTCAACATAACATTAGTTCCAATGTAATAAATTATTTTCTTTTGAAAACTAAAGCATTTCTTTACCTAGTATTGTTGTTTATAAAACAAATGACATGTTTGTTTATTCAAGTGTTTTTGTTTTGCTTTTATCAGAAAGCTTTCTTATCAGTTTTTACACTAGCCGAGAGATCGACAAGTGGCTGTTTTCTATTTGCTAGAATTTCTACGTTTCAAATATTCGTTCCCCGCACCGAAAAAGGCACCATAACATTGTGTTTGATATAAATTAAATGCCAGACGTAATTGCAGGGCTTGAATATCAAATGAATCTCGTTAGTCAATAAGTTGACGTATGCTCACATGCAATCAAAACACTGGTATTGTGGACGATATTTTTGAAGAATAGTTTCTGCTTAGTTTTCTTTTATTGAACTTAATTTTCTTCACATGACTCTAAATATTTTCTATTCCATTTTTTTTAGCCTGTGGCAGATCAGAAGTTAATCTACTCTGGTCAATTATTAAATGATAATTTGCAACTGAAGGATGTTATACGCAGCTACAAAGACGTTTATACTCACAATCATATAATTCACTTGGTTTATACACCGAAAAACTTGCCTCCAGTCCCTCCAGCAGCGGCTACCTTGAAAAAATCCAAACCAACTTCGTCAACTTCCCCAGGATCTAACAGCATGGCATCTGAAGATGGAATACGTCAGAGGCATACGTCATCTAGTGTTGGTAATACATCTACTAATCAAAATGGAATTCAAAATCAGAGAAATCCTATGGGCTACTATTCTCAATATATGCCGCAGTCTACAACTACTAGTGGCGGAGCTGGACCTCCATTGACAGTTCCTGATTATAGCCAATACAATATGCAAGCGCTGGCAATGCAGCAAGCCGCCATGTACACATGGATGCAACAAGTCTACACCCAATATATGGAACAGTGTTTAAGAGCGTAAGTTCAAAACATAATGTAGAAAAGAGTGGAGGTATATAATTTAGAGGGATTAAATTGTAATATCGTTCACCATTCTGGTTGTTTCTTTTATTTTCTCAATCAACACATATTGTTTAATGCAACCGTCGCTCAACCTAGCGGTAATCCGATGATATTTAACCATCGTATGTCCTTAGAAAACTAGATTTTCGATTTGTTTACATATACGCAATATAAGTTATGCATATTAAATGCACTATTTGTACCATCATTTCTTTTTTGTACGTGTACCATTTCTGTTTTAGAGATCACCAGTAAACTTGGGTATATAACTAGTTTAATTATATCATAATCTATTTCAAAAATTATTTACAGGTCTAACAACTTGAATGGGACTTCAGACGATGGCAATAGAACAGCACTGCCGCCTTTTTCTGCATTTCCACAAAATCCATTTTTACCCCAATTTCCACAAACTGTGATACATAGCGTGGCTCCAAATACCACAATGACAGCTAATACTGTTGCAGAACAACAACAGCCGGCTCAGGAGCCAGAGCAGCAACCCGCGCAGGCGCAAGTTGCTGCACCCCGGTTTCCCAATATGCCGCAGGAGGAAGCCGATAATAGGGATTGGCTGGACAATATATTTTCAATTACTCGTTTGGCCTTATTTTTGACAATATTGTATTTTAATTCATCGCCCCTACGTTGTTTAGCTGTGGTCATTATAGCAGGTGGCATATATCTGTAAGTCAAGTTAATGCATTAGAAAGGTAATTCAAGGGACTATTAATATAATCTAAACTACATTTCAGATATCACATTGGCGTCTTTCGTTTTCGCCATGAACGGAATAATAACAACTTGAACCGCAATAATAATGCAGTTCAAAATGCTGCCGTCGATCAAATTAGACAAGGAGTTGGTCAGCAGCAACCCCAAGAGGAGCAAGCGAATGCAGCACCCGAAAATAATGTCAATGAAAACAATGGCGATGCTCCGGCCGCAGTGGTTAATAATACTGACCAACCAGCAAATGCTAACAATTCAAATGCAGCAGGCGGAAGTGAAGTTGTCGCCAATGACAACAATGAATCGATGATTTCCACATTGCGCACATTTGTTGTCACATTTTTCACTTCATTGTTGCCAGAAACACCAGCTATCTAAATGAGATGGTGCAACAACACCACATTATGAATGCTTTAATCCTCAGCAATATATTTCCCCACATAAGATTATCCTCTACATTTCCACATTAGCCGTTATTGATTGATGCATTGGAACGATCCCGATAACCTACATATTTATTGCACATATTTAATTAAGGCCTTATGTTTAGAGCCAAACTTTACTTTCCAATTCGGGAAATTTATTCGTTCATGTGGACGAAATTAAACTGTTTGTTTTTCCTTTTTCAGTTTATATCAATCCTGCGTTACAATTAAATTTTTATTAATACTGTGTATAGAAATTTATAAGTGCGAGAAAACTATTATATATGAATGTTATTATTTAAATTACTGTTTCCCCTTTTTGTTTAGTGTATACGTGTTTATAATTATATATTTTTCTTAGATTAGTTTTAAATATAAATATATTGAAAGAAAAAAATCAAAACTACATGTAAAAATATTAATAAAAAAACTGAATGTAAAAATCTCACGTTTTTAATTTCAAGCAGTTAATAACTCGCTTTAACTTTTCAAAACAAATAAAGATATTAAATTATTACAAAAATTAGAATAATTTGTCGAAATATTTGCATGATATATAATTACAAGAACATAGAGGCCATTACTACATACGTAAGGGTAGAAAAAAGAAAGACTGCCTAACTAACACTTACACTTAAACTAGTATACGCTGGACACTTGACACAAGAATAGAGTCTCATTTGCACAATCTAATATGGTACTTGACTTTTTAGTTTGTTTTTTATTCACATCCAAAGCACCTATGTTAGATGTGGGACATATTTTACAACATTTATAAATGAGCTCTTATTTTCGACATTCCGTGTAGCGTAAAGATAGTAATTAGGCTTAAAAATCTAAAGACTGATATTTTGTACTTATTTCATTACTATTAGCTAAAGCCTAGACTCGAAAGATTTGTTTTAAGTATATCTTTAAGGTGTCCTGAAAGTTTGTTAAGGATTTTTTTAACCAGGGTTGGACGCTCTGTTGCTCGTCTCTATCTGCAGACCATTTAAGCGCAATTTAAGCATATAGTCAAATTATGCAGACTAAAAGTTATTGATGTTTACAAAACATTTGTTAGTGTATTCGTCTTTTTAATGGATTATCCGTAAAAAACCTCTTGACAGCAAGAGAATATTAAGGTTGAAACTCGTCTTCGTTGTTGGCCCCGGGCCCTGTTTTATTATTACAAAATTATTACTCACCCCAATTATGAAAAAAAAAATTCTCATACATTTTGTTCTAATTTCCCATTGTTGTTGTTGTGAATAATGTGAATACCTTTGGTAACATTTATCGCTTTGAAATTGCATGGGATTTTTTTTTTTGAAAAAAAAAAAAAAATGAAAAATGTCTAAAATGACATACGTAGACCATTTCACAGTTATCAGCAAATATAATTTAATGTTCGAAAATATCAGCTGATTTTGTTTGTTCCCATAATTTGGTAATAGCAAATCAATGTGAATGGCAATTCCCACGACATTTTATTTTGTGAGTGGGAACTCTTATTCCCTTTGTGAATGGGAACTCCCTTTTATTCTGTAATAGGGGTGACTATTAACTTAAAGAAAAATTTATGTTCACGAATACTTAAACTAATTTCATTTGCTGTTAGAATATCTAAAAACTAAAATGGGTTAAAAATAAATTTTAAAATAATGGCAAATCGGCCCGAAGAAAACAGTTATTTCTTAAACCAATAAAGACCCCAATGCCGAAATTATTTTTTCCATTATTTATTATAAACGAAGGAGTTTTGTTTATTAATTAAGATTTCGTGATTGTCAAAGTAAATAGAAGAATGCATGTTTCCGATTTTGGTCAAAATAGTTCCATAACATTTTCCCTCAAATCTGTAGCTTTCGTATATTCTTTGGAAACCTTTTATCTTCTATGGTTATATCTATATGCATCAATACACTTTTCCCACCAAACTCAAAATAATAAGGATATTATTTGCCGGCTTTCTAAGTGATTTCGGTCCAAATTTAAAGCAAAGGTCTTATGCAATTCTTATGTTTTTGGAAATACTGTCTTATGAATTTATGAAAATGTAGCAGATTTTTGGAATGAAGAAAACCCGTATGGATTTCACAGGAAATATTTTTTTAACAAAAATAATAATATTTTTATACCCTCCACCATACATAGTATGGATGATATATTAAGTTCGTCATTCCGATTGTAACTCATCGAAATAATAATTTTAGACACAACAATGTATATATATTCTTGATCAGCGTAAAATTTTAAGACGATTTAGACGCTACAGTTCAAACTAATAAAGACAGTAGTACTTTACCGCCTGGAAGAGAATTATATATATTTCCACGGGCTATACGAGCCCATATAACAGTACGCCCTGATATTCTGTATTTTGATGATTTTAGCCACATTTTTCAATGGACTTGTCTGAAATTCCACACAGGGAGTACCTCGTGAGTACTTTAGTCTCTAAAATAGAATTGTTTACATATGTCTACGATATCGTATAGCCCCCATTAAACAGTACCCCCCGATATGCGGTATTTTGATATACCACCTTCCAATATTCGGTATTTTTAAGATTTTAATAAAATTTTTAATGGATTTTATTTTTTTGAAAATTTCCTAATACGTTCCAAATGGTGGAAGGTATTCAAAATTCGTCCCGGTCGAATATACTGCTTTTTTACTTATTTTTGCTAAATTTCATAACAAATCCGGTTCTAATTCATCCACAATGTGAAATCATAAAAACATCTCAAATAGAGAGAAATAATTCAATTTGCTGTTTACAATAAATGTTACCAAGCAGAAGAGTAAGACCTCTACAACAAAATAAACAAGTAAAAAAGCACCTAAGTTCGGCCGGGCCGAACTTTTCATAACCTCCACCGTTAGGGAAGAAATTAAAAATTTTCAAAAAAAAAAAAAAAAAAACCGCCGAAAACAAATGAAAACCTTTTTTATGAAAGCTATATTTTTGTCATATGCTGTAGTAACGATTCGGATATTTAAATACAAAATTGTGAATAATGTCGCTAATATCATCAAAATACCGAATAAAGGGAGGTACCATTGCATGGGGGCTATAGAAAGACATGGACCTGCACAGAAAATTTTCTGTCTAAGGCTTTAGTATCCATTACGAATTTCAAATGCCACATTTGAAACAATTCCGGTGAATAATGTCGCTTAAATCACCAAAATACCGAAAATAGGGAGGTACCATTATCTGGGGGCTATACCAAAAGGTGGACCTTCATGGCCCATTTTCAATGCAGACACAATATACATTTGAGTAAAATTTTATCAACCTCTATATTTCGTTCTACAGACGGGCAGACACCGCTAAATCGACATAGAATTTTATGCTGATTAAGAATATATATGCTTTGTTCTGTTCTGACATATGCCTGACCAGATGCCTCGGACAAAACCGTTGTCCAGTTCAACGGTTCACTGTGATGATCCTAGCTTTGAAGATCCTACCTTGTACATAATTGTATCATGGTTCATATTATATATGTGATTACACATCGGCATCTACAACTCAAAAGTATTTTGACCAAATGAACATTTTGAAACCATTTGTTAGGCAACGGATATCTATCTGTCATTTGCTTGGGAGCGTGGATGCACGTTTATAGAAACGGTGGCACAGAATATTTTGTCTTTGTGCATTTGATTATAGCGTTTTGACGGTCTGCATAGCATCAATCACCTTCTAAGTATTTGAACATTTGGAATATATATTGACATATACGCTCGAATTTAGCATTGAAACATGTTTTTTAAATTTGTTGAAAATCGGATCCGTAGAGCTATAGTTCCCATGTATACATTTCACCCGATTTCAAATTAAGTATCTCCATATCAATTACATTCAAAACAAGATGTCAAAAAACAAGATACAAGAAGTATAGGGTTTAAGATTTCATAGGTTCATATGTATGATTACGTCCCTTTCCAACAACAACTTCCTAGATCTGTAATCAATAATTTCCGACGACTTTCGATCTCTTAAAACTAATAAAATTAAAGCATCGCTATTTATATCACCGCAAATGTCTCCATTCTTTTTTCAAAACATAATACGATGCATCTTCTGCTCCTGTATGTTTTTGGTCCATTTTGTTCTTGAAATAATGACAAAATGATCGGAGCCACGAGACAATGCGAATTGTCATGACAAATGTCCTGTATTTCAAAAGTCATGGCCCATTTCACCCCTGCGTTGATTGGTGCATAATTGTGAAATGAAGAGCGTCTTAAATCAATCAATAAATTTTGATTTATCTATCATTTCAACATCTAAATATTTTGCAAACATCTCTATAAAGAATAGACTTCCATTGTGATGCCGGCCCTTACTCGAAATTCGGTCCATAATTTTGATGTGCTGAGTGTTTGCAAACTGACATGGACAGATGGACGGACGCACATAGCTAGACCAGCTTTGCTCGGCGAGATAGGAGGATGACGAATATATAGAGAAGTTATAAACATTCTCTTTCATGAAGCAAATAAAAATCTGTCACTAGGAGCGATAATGGTTTTGTTGTCTAAGGAATTAGTTTTAAAATCAATTCGATCTCTACCCACCATAGTTCCGTCCAAACAAATGTTTGAAGATTTGTGGTTACGGTATAGCTTTTCAGACGTAAGTATGTATGACGGCTGCTGTCGTTTCGAAACGTAGCTATTTAAATTTAGTAAACACTTATATGGCTAGAGATTTCAAGTATTTTTAACACTGTTTATATCAGTACAAATCGAAATTCATTCGAGACAAGATAAGGAGGTTTTGTGCCATAAAACTTGGTTAGTTGGTGACATCGAAACTACGAGTGTAAATGAGTGTAGGTGTGTGTGTGGTGTTTACTGATTATCACCAACCAAACGACAGGCCATAATCGCAGAACACAACAAAAACAATCGTAATTATTTGAAATTATCATCGATTTGGGATAAATACACATCCAAAGCGTAAGGGAACATCAGCCAGCGTGTGCGTACGTGTTTACATAGGAACATTATTATCAGAATTCGTCGGGTCGTGCACATGGGATTATGTCTGGACATTATCAGTGTAACAAAACAACACATCCATGTGCACCACACATATGCGAATAGAGTTGTGGTACAATCAGTAATATCAACAACGCGGGAACCCCGATTTAATTTTGCACCATTTTTCATTCAAAAAAATAACGTCTTACCAATACAAACTTCTCCGGCACACACACAAGCATAGAGTGTTGCAGGCACTGGTGCTTGAGAACAAAAAACTCAAATCTGATAGGGGCTTGGCTCCTAAACGATTTTGGTCAGAATTATTTCAGCTGTCGAATCAAGCGGATCTCCAGCGAACGGATACGAATTTCAAAGTGGAAACGAGCAACGACATCGGCCATATCAGCAATTATTTTATAGTGAAATCGAATCCATAGCCATAGTGACTTTAATACGTATGCAATCAAAATGATGCGACTATTGCAGTCTCGTGCAGCAGCATGCTGCACAAAAGAAACAATTACAAAGTCATTCAGTAGATGGCGCCATGTAAGTATAGAGCGGAGAGTCTGAAGTGTGAAGTGGGGAGAGCCCATTGATAATTTGTAAATTGTCTCCCATCTAGCATGGACGTGTTATAGCCATACGTCGTGAAGATCAATCAGTTTGGGAGCGTAGAGCTGCACTTGGCCCCTCTCATGTCCAGAAGCTGGTTAAGCAAGGTGTAAAGGTTATAGTGCAACCATCAAATCGTCGTGCCTATCCCATGCAGGTAAGTGATGCCGATCGAAATGAGATTTTAGTAAAAGTGTTCTATGGAGATTTTAACAACCCAAAGATTGTCCTTGAAATGACACCCACCAACTCATTTCAGGGTGATATTCTTATGACTGCCCCACAATGCTTATCATCTTCAAATATTTGCAACAACAAATTATGATACAACATTGCAAAAATGTCAGGCACACACAAATAGTAGACGAAAAGCCACTGCAAATTCTCTTGTTTCTGTGCAAGGTATATACACAGTAATATAAGGGTGTACCGGAGTACTCAAGTACTTCCGTAGAATCTGAAGATGAGGAAAAATAGCTAAAGAGAATTGTTGTTTCATTCAGAAAAAAAGTATGTAGTTCGTTTACTGTTGATAGCCTTTTATCAGTTCCATTGACATTATTGCCAGTCTAACAACCGTTTATACATATATGTATATGTGTGTGCATCGATGTCTATAGGACTTTCTATTTCACTTGAATGCTTCTAAGAAATCAATTGCAGTTGTGTGTGTGTATGTGTTAATTGCAAGATAATTCATATCTGAAGGGGCCAGTCTCGTACGATTTATATTGGGGGTCTGATAAGGAAAATAGCAGCAATTGTCTTTGGAGGATCTTCAATAGCTATTTGGAACGTTTATCAATTCAAGTTGAAAATAGCATTCGTAAAAACATTAGTTATCTTGAAAATAGTTAATAAATAATTTATATGTGTGCGTTGAATGGGTACGCAACAAACTCGCCTTCTCGAGGACACATTTTCATAGTATTGGGAGAAAGTATTTTTAGAAAGTTAGATATGTTTCCAAAAGCAGCTTGTTTTCAACATGTGTAGACTTTAGCGAAAACACAATAAATATCCACAACTAGCTTATGGACCACAAGAGATTTAAAGTTGTCGATTTATTCCGTATTCAGAAAATGTCGTGGAAATTTCCATTTAAATATTTGTGCACTTCTTTTTTTATCATATCGCACAATGCGAGCCGAACAAAGCCGAACCATTAACAATAAGATTTTATGAACATATGTCGAACCATTATCTGCGGCGGCAAGCTTGCAGATTGAAAGTAAAAACTAACGAAACTCATAAGAATAGAATTGCGCTCAGCCATAATTCAAATTTCTCAAATCCAGCTGATTAAGGTGACTGATATTGGGGCGAAAAACACAAAAGCTAACGAATGAACGACATAACAATATGCTTTGACTAGCTGATTTATCAGCTACAATTAGAATTGCGTATCTCTGTACATGATAATTCAGAGCGTGACAATGAGGACACCTTTATGTTCACATGTGACTAAATTTAGAAAAAAATTAACGCTTGAAACGCTGATCTAAATCTGTTTTGGTAGATATTAAAAACCCTTTTGTTACCTATAGGCCTACCTGCAAGCTGGTGCCATCATCCAAGAGGACATCAGCGAGGCTTCCGTTATATTTGGGGTGAAGCAAGTGCCCATCGATGCTCTCATACCGGGCAAGACCTACTGTTTCTTCTCGCACACCATCAAAGCGCAGGAGTCGAATATGCCCCTGTTGGATGCCATTCTGGAGAAGAAGATTCGCTTAATCGACTACGAACGCATCATCGACGAGCGCGGAGCCAGACAGGTGGCGTTTGGCAAGTACGCCGGTGTTGCTGGTATGGTTAACATTTTACATGGCTTGGGCTTGCGTCTGTTGGCTCTGGGTCACCACACACCTTTCATGCACATTGGCCCAGCTCACAACTATCGCAACTCGTCCATGGCCCGTCAAGCTATCAGAGATTGTGGCTACGAAATTGCTTTGGGCATGATGCCAAAGTCAATTGGTCCTCTCACCTTTGTCTTCACTGGCTCCGGAAATGTCTCCCAAGGTGCTCAGGAAGTTTTCCAGGAACTGCCAATTGAGTATGTACCTCCAGAAATGTTGAGAAAAGTTGCCGAGCACGGAAGTGAGTACAATGAGGCAACAAAAAAGGGACGATTTTTAATAGCGAAATATTCCCTATCTCTTTTTTCAGGTCAAAATAAACTTTACGGCTGTGAGGTCAGTCGATCGGACCATTTGGAACGTCGCGAGGGAGGTGGCTTTGATGCCAAGGAGTATGACGAATTTCCCGAACGCTATATTTCCACGTTTAGCCAAAAGATTGCACCATACGCCTCGGTTATTGTGAACGGCATTTATTGGGCTGTGGGAAGTCCTAAATTGATCAGTATTCCCGATGCCAAAAATCTGTTACGACCAGCCAACACTCCTTGGTTACCCACCAGCAAGGGCAGCCCCTCCTTGCCTCATCGCATGTTGGCCATCTGTGATATTTCTGCTGATCCTGGCGGTTCCATTGAGTTCATGAACGAATGCACCACAATTGACACACCCTTCTGCCTTTATGATGCCGATCGCAACAAGGACACCAAGAGTTTCAAGGGCCCCGGTGTTTTGGTGTGCTCAATCGACAACATGCCCACACAGATACCCCGTGAAGCTACCGACATGTTTGGTGAATTGTTAACACCATTCGTTAGTGACATCATCAAGAGCGATGCCAAGAAACCACTGGAGGAGGAAAACTTTGCCTATCCGATCAAATCGGTAAGACCAACAGATACGGAATCGGTTTTTTTGTTCAGTTAATTAATTTCTTTCTGCTTACAGGCTATTATTGCCAGCAATGGAAAACTAACAGATAACTATCAGTACATTCAGGAGCTTCGTGAAGCCAACAAGTGAGTATTTTTTGTTGCAAGAAGAAATTGTTGTGGTCCACAGATGGGAATGATGCCAATATTCACTGAGTAGGGTAGGGGATGTATTCTTCTATTCACTGTGTAGGGTAGGGGATATACAGTGGCCTTAAACCCGAGGTTTGTAATGGATGGAGATACATTACTCACAATAATGTACATGGATAAGTTGTTTTCAAAGCAAGATTTACTCAGTCACTTCATCTCAGAGAGTGAGCACCCTCAAATATAAATATTGCAAAGAAAGAAACGGGAGGTATGGAATTGATAATTCAGAATCTATTGCGGGGCTAACCTATAAAATTTTGTGAGATAAACCAAATTCACATTTTTGAAACAACTGATCGAGGTTATTTCTCCCAGTAAAACGAATAAATTGGAAGTTTGGGACTGTCAACATTTTTTTCTCTCTCTCTCTTTCTGCTCTCTTATCATAGACTTTTGAGTAAACAGACGGCAGGTAGTGACCTTAAAAAACAATTGATACCAAACATCGAGTATACAACAGACTTATATAGATAAATCGCCATCTTGATCTTCACATATTTGATCACGTGATTCTAATTGATAAATATTTATTATAATTCATTTTTCCATTTATAATTCATTTCTTGCAGTTATCGTTCACGTCACAAGATTGAAGGTCGTTCAGATGCCGACAAAAAGGTGTTGGTCTTAGGAGCCGGTATGGTCTCGGCCCCCTTAGTTGAATGGTTGCATCGTGAAAAGGATGTTTCGATCACGGTTTGTTCGCAGGTTAAAGAAGAAGCTGACCGCTTGGCCAACCAATATGCCGGTGTGGACAGTCTTTACCTAAATGTCACCGAGAGCACCGATCATCTGCAAGAACTTTGCGGTAAGGCCGATGTGGTGGTTTCCTTGTTGCCCTACAGCTTACATGGCATGGTGGCCAAGTACTGCGTAGCTGAGAAGACTCACATGGTCACTGCCAGTTATGTAAATGATGAAATCAGCGCTCTTCACGACGAGGCTCGTCGCAATGGCGTGACAATTATGAATGAAGTCGGTTTGGATCCTGGTATCGATCACTTTTTGGCATTGGAATGTATTCATGAGGTCCAGGAAAAGGGTGGCGTTGTTGAATCTTTTGTAAGTTTCTGCGGTGGCCTACCAGCTCCTGAGCATTCAGATAACGCGCTGCGTTACAAATTCTCTTGGTCCCCACGCGGTGTCTTATTGAACACTCTGTCCGCTGCCAAGTACTTGAGCAAGGGACAAATTGTGGAAATTTCCGGTGGTGGCGATCTCATGTCAAATCCAAAGAGCTTAGACTTTTTGCCTGGTTTCGCCTTGGAAGGTTTCCCCAATCGCGACTCTACCAAGTATGCTGAGCTTTACGGTCTAGGACGTGACATACACACCTGCTTGAGGGGTACAATTCGCTACAAGGGCTTCTCGGAATCAATTCAACCCATGCAACTGTTGGGTTTGATTGATCCTGAACCCCATTCGCTGTTGCATCCAAGTGGACCTGATCTAACATGGCGTCAGCTCGTGATCCATATGTTGGGTCTGGTGGACACCAGTATTTTCTATGAAAATTTGAAACAAAAACTAGTCGAACGTATTGGAGATGCTGACTGCTTAGAAAGTTTGGGATTGTTGGATGAGACTCCTGTTGTGAAGTTGAACACTCCCTTGGACACTTTGAGCCATTATCTTGCTAATCGTTTGGCCTTTGGTAAGTACTATTTGTGAATGTAGTTTTTTGGGTCAATATAGATCGGTTCTAATTATTCATTTGCTTTGCAGAACGCAACGAACGCGATTTGGTTATTTTGCGCCACGAGGTAGGCATTCGCTGGCAAGATGGCCGTCGTGAGGAACGTGGCATTAATTTTGTCGTATACGGTCAACCACATGGTCACTCCGCCATGGCCATGACCGTTGGCAAGCCAGCTGCCATTGCTGCCAAAATGATTTTGGATGGAGAGATCCAGGAACGTGGCGTTGTCCTTCCCTTCACTCCAGACATCTATCGACCAATGCTTCAGCGTTTACGTGCCGAAGGTTTGACGGCAACCGAAACCACAAAATGGATCCAGTAAATAGCAACACCGGCTTTGTGTAATTATATGTTTTGTAATATTGTATTTAATATTAGCTACGTAGAGTAAGAATTTTGAAAAAAAAAAATAAAAAAATAATAAAAAATTAAAAAAAAAAATACATTTGTAATGAAATCAATATTTTCATTTGCGCCAATCCATTTATTTAAAAGCATTAGATGAAATTGTTAGCAAGTAGTGAAACAATTCTTTTACAGTTCATTTGCCAGGTGTTGTTGTTGTTTTTTCGATTTCTTTTCGACAAACTTAAGGGTTAGTCCGCGTCAGCGTTGCAAATATAAATGGGAACAAACCCACAGGTAATATGAAACCGAAAAGAAACCCTCAATTGTCCGTGCAATGGGACAAAACATGTATGAGTATCAGTGCATTTGGCTGTCAGGATATACCTATAGGATAAATGGACACATATACATGTGTATGACTAAGGTGTCGAATCAGTTTAGGCCCTCAATCTTGGGGCCACATTTTTATCACATTTAAATATTATTATATACTATTGAGGAAAAGGAACCAAATATATTCATTCATTGAGTCTTTTGAGGATGTCACACATAACATTACACCCTCTAAACAATTGATAATTTTCAGACTTATTTTAATTCGGTTATATAAGAATGTCCGATAAAAATTCTCGATATACTTTTGAAACTTTTGCTTTCAGGGTTGCTGCTATTTATATGGCAAACTCCTGCAAACTATAATATTAAGTCTCGCTTTGTAGAGGTTATCCAACGACAATTTACCAAAAAATGAAAAATGCGATTTGCGTAAAGAATTATGTGACACTTGAAAAAATGTAGCAGTTGTTATTTTAAGTCTAATATTCAATAATTTGAATAAAAATGCCTGCAGTATACTTTACTTTAGATTTAAAATAATGCAAAACACCAGACTATTTTAAGAAAAAACAAGTAAAAAAGCTTCATGTTCGACCGGGCCGAACTTCGAATACCCTCCACCATTTAGAAGGAATTTGGCAATTTATGTAAATTATAAAATCCGTTAAAAATTCTGTTAAAAATAAAATAAAAATACCAGATGTAACCGTCATATTAGAGTCGAAATGACGACGTGGACCTGCAGAGGTCCATTACAATATTCAAATGCGAAACATGAAAAAAAAAAATTCGGTGAATAATGTAGCTAAAATCATCAACATGGGGAGGTACTATTACATGTGGACCTGCACAGACAATTTTCTGCCTCTGTCCGCAGTATCCATTACAAACTTCAAATACCAAATTTAAAACATTTCCGGTGAATAATGTCGCTAAAATCATCAAAATACCCAATATCGGGAGATACCGTAACATGGGGGCTATACGAAGACAATTTTCTGTCTTAGACTGTAGTATTCATTTCGAACTTCAAACACCAAATTTGAAACAATTCCTGTGAATAATGTCGCTAAAATCATCAAAATACCGAATAACGCGACTGTAACATTATATGGGGGCTATACGAATACGTGGACCTTCACAGACAATTTTCTGTATAAAATTTGAGATATTTCCAGTGAACAATGTCGCTAAAATCATCAAAGTACCGAATATCGGGAGGTACCGTTATATGGGGGCTATACGAAGACGTGGACCTGCACAGAAAATTTTTTGTATTAGGCTGTACTATCCATTACGAACTTCAAATATCAAATTTAAAATATTTCCGGTGACATGCAATCACTAAAATACCTATACCAAAACGTGGATGACAATTTTATACCAATATCAGAAGTCCTGCAGACATAATAAAAATTTGAGTAAGTATTTTTCAACCTACTTAATTTCGTTCGGAAGCTAGAGTGATTTTCAGAGACGGACAGACGGACGGACATCGCAAAATCAACATAGAATTTTATGCTGATCAAGAATATACATACTTTGTGGTGTCTAAAATGTATATTTCGATGTGTTACAAACGGAATGACATACCACATATACCCTCCATATTATGGTGGAACGTATAAAATAACTTAAAAAATACCAATTGTTTAGAGTGTGTAAAGTAATATGTGACATACTACATCCCATGGTAGAAGAATATAGGTAGACGCATCGACACAGCTGCTGGGACAATGAACTGTCAAACCAATTTTGGAATTGAAAATGTTGAATGAAAAATTATTTAAATTTGCAATTGTTGATAAAAGCGGATTATAATAACCTCCGAATGACGTCGTATAAGAAAACATATAAATTTCTACATATATTTGAAAAAATATTTACAATTTTTTGATATATCAATGCTCCCAAGCTTTGATGCAACTACCTGTATTCTTGTGCCATGCTACATCCTAATATCAAGGAGGGTTAAACAGGGGTATTTCGCCCTTATTTGGGTTACTTCCCGATGTACACTTTCAAACCGCGTACAAAAATTGTGGAATAATTTTTACTTTGGTGTTCAAAGATAGAAAATAAGAGTTTAAATCATGCGAAATTTGCATTGATGCTAATAGAAGACCTTCTTATGGTTCGTTCTGCGGTTTTCTTTTGTTACTTTACAGTCTGCACAATTAATAAGATGGAAGACAAGAACCTTGAATTTTCGTTTCTTTTTTTCTGAAAACACACAATAAACAGACGTAGACATAGCCAGGCCATAGAATACGGCGAATTAATCCTGAATTGTACTCTGCACATTTGTGCGACAACAGTAAACACATACATATTTAGGTCTCAGACAGTTCATCATTTTAAACATTGTTCAAGACAGACAAACATACATTTTTAGGGAAGTAAGACACGCTAAACAAAGAACATACACAAACACAAAGGACATGTTGCTGATATCCTCTACGATTCTGTGTTGGTAGATAATGAAATAGCTTTGTTTTGTACAATCCGTTTTTGCTTCATAGTGTGCACTCTCATCTCCTCTAAATATGTATACCTAGCGAGTTTTCATTGTGATTGATTTTGAGATTTGATCTATTCTATTTCAGACATGTTTTAACATGCTGTCATCTACCTGTGTTTGCAATAACATTTATTGCGCGTGTAAATTTATAATTAGAATAATATTTTCCTAGCCGATTTGTAGGGGTTACATATCACAGATGTTTATATATTAAGTTTTTCAGTTCAAAGTGCAGGTCGTGCGCCTTCCGTTTTAGTGTATTCATATGAAACTGGTTTGAATGAAATTTTGCCACAGACATTCTCCCATCATCCACTATTTATCGTAACAATAATTCGAATGATGAGAATAATGGTTTGGCATTAAATTAACAAATACCTTGACTATCACCTAAACTAAATTTGTGTATGGGTGTTGATATTATAAAAATATACAATTTAGATAAAAATATAATAGGCCAGTTGAGATGCTAGATAAAATGCTTAGAAACATTCAAAGCACATTACTTAACACCCTACACATCGGCTATATTTTCGATATTAGCAATGTTTTTAAGCGTTTTCTTTTTGGCAAAGCGTTAAATTGAAATGTTATTAATTAATTCGTTTTAACCAGGTTATGAGACATTTTGATTCGCAGAGGAGCGACCTAGTCGGTTGGATATAAAATTGAGATATTACATAATTGTCCCTGACCTATGTCTTCTCTAAGTATAAAAAATTGTTTTCACATATCCTACAGTTATTATTCAAAACGTTTACCTTTGGTGGGGGAGGTACTAGAAAGAGTGAGATATTATTGTCCATTTTCACATCTGATCTAAGTCTCATCTAAATGTAACGATATACCAAGTTTAACATATATCGGGTACTTCCTCGGCTCAAATTTTGAACGTCAGTATTCATAGAACTTCATTTTGAACTTCAGTATTCAGTATTCATTTCTCAAAACTTTGCCTAAAATAGGAATTAATATTAAGATGTGATAAGTTTAATAAAAATCGGACACTGATTTCACATTTTATTATCATTATTATTCAAAGTTTTGATCATTTTTGGCAGGGTATAAGAAGAGTAGGCAAATATTGTTTAAAACCTAATTTAATTCTTATCTAAAGTCTACGATGTGCCAAGTTTGTATCATAGTCGGATACTCGCTTCGAGAGTCATCGTGCACACATACATATAGACTTGCATGGCTAGATCGACTCCAAGCGTCCTAAAACAGTTATTTCGTTTATACAAATCGATTTGTTACGTATCATTGCTTTAACCGACAATGCCGCATGGCCGGCTAATAGGGTATAAAAGAAAGCTCACCAACACAATTGACCACTTATTATTCTGCACTCTCGATGTTTGCACTTTCAGTTAACTCTCAAGAATCGACCGGAACAGACGTGCCGAAAGTGTTTTTGTTAGTCGGGGACAAAACAAGATTTGGTCGAGGTTTCGCCGTGTAAAAGTGCTAGCCTTGTGTTTTATCTTAAAAAGTAGACCCGCGAATTGCGTTCCAACATACGAGTATGACCCATAAGCGAATTTAACCGTTATTATTTTCACCAAATAAACGTAATTCCGCGGACGCAAAAGACTTAAGTGCATATGTACCGCATCTCACTGCTACTCTGAATGTTACTCGTAAAATCTCAATTTTATTTTTAATTGTTTTTTAAACCAACTATTTAATGGAGTAACAGCAAAGTTCATAATAATTAATAAGGGGATAAAAGAGAATATTTATTATTCGGCTGCAGTTTATTAAAACGTGTTCCAAAAAACAACTTAAAATTAATAAATGCGGGAAGCAAGCCTTGAATCTAATGATAATTACGGTTTCTATCCAACCGGAATGAGAAGTGAAAACAGAACGATTCAGAATTTATGGTCGTTTTTGGCATTGGTATATCAATGCATAGGTTTTTGACTTTGATTTTAAAATTCACATTTCATTGAACTTAAACCCAGCTGCCGTATTTTCTATAATTAGTGTCAATACATGATTACGTATGTTTGTATGTTTTCCCCACAAGATTACTGGGGTATAAAGCCAGCTCTTTTGTAACATAGAAAAATATAATCAACAATATATGATATACAAAGAGCGTCGTAAAAAGTACTTTGTACCATCAAAGGGTTTTGTATAAGAAACACTATGTGTTCCGTTCGCCTTTCGTTTTATATTCAAAATTGTATATACAAATGTTTTGTAGTTCTAAAAAAACAAATTCAAGAACTAAAAAAAACGTATTTATTGTAACATAAAAAATGTTAAAATAAAAACATGCTAAATTTAGCCCGTGTACACGTAAAGTTGTGTGATTTGTGATTTGTTAATTGTCATAAGAAATGCCAAATGTAGTGGAAACCACTATTCGTGGGATTCCCCGTAATAATCGCCGTGTGTTTTCACTGTATGAATTTTAGATCAACTTCCCTCACACATTCCAAACATCATTGAAATTTGACATACATAGCGTCAAATACTCCAAATCATTTATATTGGAACTATATTGAAATCTGAATCAATATCAATGTAATTTGACAAATTTTTTTGTAGACCAAATTCCGTTTCACATTCCAAATTTCACTGAAATTGGAGATGCATAGCGTGGTTGGTACATCAAATACATGAAATCGGCCAAAAAAATATATGGGAGCTATATGCAAATCTGAACCGATTTCAATATTATTAGGTAAATTTATTTTTATACCAAATTGCGTACGCATTACTAATTTTAAAACTGTATATTTAACCGATCAAAAGATATTTGCATACAAAATCTAAAATTATTGAGGTACATCCGATTCCAGTTCCAAGTGGAATTTCAAAAATTTATATAGCCTATGTTAATTTCAGGCAATGCTATATTTTAGAATACATTTAGTTTTGTTCGAATTGGTTACCTTTGGCACGAATTATGGCCGTCTAATGAAACCGTCTAACGCTGTCCGAATAGTGCTCTGCGGTATTTTGGCCCATTCCCGGCGAAGCGCTTGAGGTGAACTACACTTTGGTATTTTTTAGTGCCAACCTTGCTTTCCAAAATACTACAGTTATGGCGGCCCACACCGTCACCATGGCTGGCGCTTGAGTTCTGGTGGCTAACCGAAGGTGCCCATTTTTAGCCGACCTCTTTGGCAAGTAAACACGATAATTTTGTTTGTTTACAAAGTTTTGAGTCTATTTCCTTTCTGTTAAGTTCTTGCACTTTTGGAATCTAATGGAATATTTCGATATGTTCAGCTCACCAGTCATTTTTCAGAAATCACACTATCAGGCTTAAATTCCTTCACGAATAACTTTTTTCTGGGGTTTCTTAAAAATGACAGCAGTCTGAATTTGGTTGCAGTTTTTACATCTCACCCTTTAAGGGGAAACGATGGCAGGATTCGGGTTCTGCTCTGGCATCCCTTTATGTCACAAAATATACCATGCGAAAACGTCAAGCTACGTATGTACCTACACCTTTACATGCAGAGCTCATAGTTTTCATTCACAAAATCGAACTTACAAACCGGGGAATTGTAGTCTGACGGGCGCACTCTGTGCTAAGGTTACTCATTACTTGGAAATGAGTAAAGTAAGTTATTTTGTCTTTTTATTTTTTAATGAATAATTAATTGCCATCAACCTAATGACAATGCTACTGTTTAGATTGTCTTTTAATTGTTATTCGGCCCATACAGCTCCCAAGTTTCTGCTGGAAAGTTTTGTTTACATTGCCTTGTAATCTGTCTTCCAAATTGTTGTTGGAAATTCTATACACTTTCCACTGGCTGAAATTAGTTTTATTTATTTATTTATTTATTTTTTTTGAAAAGATAGTATTTAATTAGATTTATAATATTCGGCTAATGTAATGCCAGATTGAAAGTGATCTACATAGTTTTCCCCAACATAAAAATATGGCGTAATGGAACGACGCTCGAAGGTTTGTAGGGACATTTGGTCCTTCCAAATGCTCTTTGTTCCTGCTTTAGACCCATTTTCTACACTCACTGTCCTTTTACATATAGAACAACATAACTATGTATTTACCTACATTCGTATGACATGTTCGTTGAAGTACACGCTGCTGCAAATAAAAATAACGAAAGCATTCTAAAGGAAGTAGGAATAGCTGTTGACACTCTCCACTCTCGATTGGTGATGCACAGTGGGTGATTTTTATTAAGTTTTTATAATGTGAAAAAAAAATGGTTTAATTTCCACAACTTTGCTTAAATACAATATGTGACTTTTTTAAATTTATATTTAATAATTTATAAATATTGAAATTAAATAGTGTTTGTGTATTTGGGTCTTACGGTCGTACCACATATTCACAGTTTTTGCTCAGAGGGGAATCGGGATCATAGTACAATAATTTCAAGGTAGGGCCAAATTTACTAATAGCAAATGCAACAAGCCGCAAATTTCTTCACAATATCGAGTTCCTTATTCAAATACAATGATTTTTCACCCCAAAACACAATCATTTATTTTCCCCAAAAGTTGTAAATATTAATTAAAATTCAATTCAAAGAAAATCACATCACAATAGTGCAAAACCTACTGAGTTCATTGTCGAATTGTTGTCAAAAAAGTTTTCTTGGTCATCTTTATCTAGACACTGATTGTGATATTTGTTTTTAATTTTCCTAACTCGGTACTACTCGGTAAGAAAAGTTGATAAAACAATAAAATCTTTTTCCAAAGTTAGAAATTAACAAACTTCAAATTTTTGTGACAATTCGAAATGAAACTACATTGCAATAAATAGCTGTATAAAAATCTTCCACTGTGCCGTATGTGTGTCTTCTCATAATCAGTTCCCCACTAATTTGGAATCTTGCGATAGCCATGAAACAATTTTCAGCTGATTAAAGTCAAAAACGGTTGATAACGCCTATTCTGTAGCTTTTTGCGTGTAGAGTGATGAGCATTTGGAATGCGATACATATTTTGCGACAGTCGGTCGATAGTGTGCCGCGCGAATAGTTGTAACAAAGACGTGAAAAAGTAACAAAAGTTGATTTGAAATTTCTCCAATTAAACAGAAGCGAACGAAAATTTGCCCACAGTTAAGGTTAGGCTTTTTAAAGCCCCGACAAACTAAATCATTTCCCCGGAGACAAGCAAGAGGACACCATTACCGCTGACAGTGACAACATGTTGGGCGTCAAATATTTAACAGAAGCCCATTTGAAGGGCTTCGAAAAATACAAGGTAAGAAACGTGAACAAACCCCCAAAGAGTGCAATAATTTAATTAGAGTTGACGACACCGGCAAAAATGGGCTGGACACCTAACAAATTGAATCAAACGTACTCGAACGCTACATTTGTTTGCAGATTATTGTGTTCTTTTAAAATGTCATCGATTGTTTGTTTTTCAAATATTTCTATTGCCTTGAAATTATTTATTTTTTTGTGAAAGCAATTTGTTCCACATGAATTCAAAGAATAGATTAAAACACCCACACACTCTCACATTGCTGACCTTAGATTACAATTTAATTGCATTTGATTATTTCCACGTTGTTGCTAAAATTTGTTTATGTTCGACTAGGAGGGGCTCTAAATTTTATAAAATTATACTGCATATAATTTTTATGAAATGCAAAATCTGTCAGTTACCTATGCAACATACATACGTAGGTCCTCAAAGCTTGACTTTCAAGGAGTTTCTAACAGCATAATAATGCCTATTGTTCACTGACCATCCTCACAACCATCCCCAATCAAGCCCCCCACATTTCCAAAAATAGTCTTCAAACCGGATCAACATCATTAAAATGACAAACCAAGACAGTGACACTGTTTCTTGATTTATTCGTTTAATTGGATTTTTGTTGGTCAATTGTTGTTATAAAAAAAATATATATCACCACCTTTCTGTGACCGTTCATCCGTTCGCATTACCCCTCCACTGATCATGCTCGCTTATCTGCTTCGTTTCTTTATTCTGAGATTTTGTTGTGCTCATTGGCGGAGAGTGATCTTTCAATTTCATTTCGTTCTCCGTCCGTCTAATTCCGTTAGCGTCCCGATTGTGGGGGGCATTGACCAAGTGAAGCGTCGAGTGTCCAGTTTTGCAAATGAATTTTTCTCAATGGAATTGTAAATTGATTTCTTAAAATGGAATGAGACATTGTTTTTGCTGAACTCACTAGGGCAATGGAAGAACCAGAGGGTTGTGCGTACCGACAGCGATAAGCGGGCTGGTGTGTTATCATCGTCACAAACGGGTGTCTGTTTGGTGGAGCGAACATGTTGTGCCTGCGGTCTAAAATAGAGATTTGTTGTTGAGTTGTTGTTTTTGTCGACAATAAACTTTTGTGATCTTAATCTGAGGATTCGCGTGCGAAATCTCACAAATGAAATTCGGTCAAAAATTATGAGAAACATGAGGAAACTTAAGAGGGATATAAAAAACAGGTTAATGAAATTTTTTGTCTAAATTTCCTTACACCAAGATGTAATTGAAGTAATTTAATACACGTGTGAACATGCATACATAGATACGTCATACAATAATAATTAATTAATTGTTGCATAGAATGCTGTCTGGCCATTGCAAGCAAGTTCTTATTTAATTAACAAGAATTAGCAAGGACACGATAGTATATATTCCCCACGAAGAAATCAGTAAATAACATTTACATTTACATATAGGCTCATCCGCAACATGTGTGTTCAGTGCAAAGGGGAAATTCTTCTGAGTATAACTTTGAACAGTTTTCAATAAATGTTTTTGAATTTTTTGAGATTAACTTATATAAGTACAGTAATATAGAATAGAATATCTTCGTAACAAAAATCACCAATATGGGTCACTTCTCAAATATAAACCCAAATCTGTTCAGATTAGCTGCTTAATGTAATTGATTAAAAGTTTTCGGTAGTCGCAATTTATGGGTTCAATAGCGACATCTATCAAGTACATATATGAAGTACAGGGTACAACTATGAAACTCTTTAAGATCTAGTTTTCAATGTGTGTTCCAACCAATCTTATATAAATCCCGGCCAACACTAACATGAAGTCTAAAACGACTCAATTAAAAAATGTATAAAAAATCGAACACCTGTCATTCATATCATACTCGGCTGTTTGCAAGGTATTGATTTTATTGAAAAAAATAATTGCAATTATTGTATGTATTTTTAGCGAAGTTTTAGTATTAAATTGGATGTCGTTGTTTTGATGTCTCTGCGTATATAAAAATATCAGTTAAACTGATATATTAATGGGAATCTAAGTCTGGGAATTGAAAATTCCCTTTGGGGGAAAAACTAGTTGGTAAGAATATTAAAAACCATAAGGAGATAGAGGCCGTAAGTTGCACTTTTATGATGTATGTAGTTGGTATTTTTTTTTTGCTTGTGACCCTGAAGTGCATCATAAAGTCGCAGTATATCATTACTACAGCTTATGTCTTCATTTCTTAAACCGGAAGACGATGATCACAAGAAGAGATTATGATATTAATGTGGTTCTCATGGGCGAGAAAACTATACTTCGATGTTTTCGGTGTTCAGATTTGAATTTAAATTATACTATCACGAAAAACTAAACTTCCTGTTACATTTGTTTCCGCCAATTTTTGTCCATTTTATGCAAAAACCCTCTGAGGGTATATATCGACGACCAAAACGTGCCTCACTGAAATATCGGTTTAAGACCCTACGTCTTTTGGAACAAATCCGTTTCAAATCGGTCAACTCCTTCTGGTGTCGGATGGTTTTTTTCTGTTTTATGTGCTTAATGAATATTTAATTTTTGTGGGGGAGGTACCAGAAGGAGTGGACCGATATATTCCATCTTAACACCAGGCCTTGGGTTAATAAAATTATTAGGATGTGTGACATTTGAAGACAATCGGACTCTTACATCACTTTTTATAAGAGCTTTAATTACTCAAAATTTTGACCCTTTGGCTGGGAGGTACTTGATAGAGTGGACCGATATTGTCCATTTTTCCGCCTGACGTAGCACTAACGCAAATATTTGGATTTGCAAAGTTGGAGCAAAATCGGATTATCGTTTCTCTTTCTGTGCAGAAAAAATATTTTTTGAAAATTTCGAACTTTTGTGGGGGAGGTACCAGAAGGAGTGGACCCATATGGCCCATCTATGAACTCGAACTAAATTTGACAAAAATATTACGATGTACCAAGTTTGGACCAAATCGGATACTCCCAGCCAGTCAGACAGACGGACGGACACCGCTAGATCGACTCCAAATGTCCTGAAATGGATTTAGTCCAAAGAGACCTAGGGTCTAAAACGGTTATTTCGACTAGGCACGTTTTGACCGTATCAAATGATATATACCCTCTCTAGCCATATTGCTGAGGGTATAACTAGCCATATGGTTGAGGGTATAATTATACCGCATTTCATAAAATGTAAAGGAAGTAGTCGGTGTGGTTCAAAGCTGGTACGTTATAATATTTATATAAGACTTAGGTCAGATATGAAATGGACGATATTGGCCCACACTTTCGGAACACCCCATAAATGGTGAACAGTTTGAACAATCATAACGCAAGGTTGAGGGTATACATATGTCGTAAAAACCGACGGATAATCCTCTTTATTGATCCTTTACTAAATTTTAGTGTGTACAATGGTCAAGTAGCTTCTTATGTCAAATTGATACGCCAGCTTTTATTCATCTTGTGTACCCTACATCACATAGTGGTAAGAGTATTATGTCTTTGTGCATTTGTTTGTAACATGCAGAAGGAAGCGAAACAGACCCATAATTGCTATTGAGAATCTCCATAGAATCCCTTTCTGAGTCGATTTATGCATGTCAGTCCGTCTGTCCGTCCATGTATTTTTGTGAACAAAATACAGGTCGCATTTATTATCCGATTGAGATTAAATTTTCCAAACAATATTTATTTGGTCCAAGAACGAACCCTATTGTAATTGGTGAGAATTGGTTTAAATTTAGATATAGCTTCCATATATATCTTCAACCGATTTCGGGTTAATTGTGCAAGTAATGACCAATATTAGTCCAAATGACCTATATTTTGGTACATCCGACCTGATTCAGTCTAGAAGAAAGTACATCAAATTTGGTGAAAACATATATTTTAGATATAGCTATAACTCCCATATACATATATGTTTCACCCTATTTGGTGTTTAAGTCGCTCAAATTTGTAATATGTATCCCACCATAATGATACTTGTTACCAGACATCGGATACAGCCCAGAAATACCTCTGTCAAATTTTATCGAGATCGGTTCAGATTTATATAAACATTCGATATATATCTTCATACGATTTTATGGTTATTGTCCACCATATATGCAATATCAAACCAAATTGGGAAGATTTTTTAATATTCAACCGAATTTTCCATTTGATGAAACTAGGTCCGGTACATAAATTTCTCCAATAATTTTTATACCCTACAACACTATGTGTTGGGGGTATTATAAGTTTGATTGGGCCAAAAATTATGTAACACCTCGAAATATTGGTTTCCAATATAGGAAAGTATATATGGATCTTCCTAGCTCGCCGAGCTGAGTCGATCTAGCTATGTATGTCCGTCCGTCTGTCCGTCTGTCCGTCTGTCCGTCTGTCCATGTTAATTTGTAATCACTCTACAGGTCGCAATTATGGCCCGATCTTCACGAAATTTAGAATGTAGGTGGGGTTAAGGCCAGAATAGAACCCTATTTCTTTTGGAGATGATCGCATAATATTTAGGACCAAAAACTGAAAAAATGCCTGATTTTGCAGTTGCTCTACAGGTCGCAATTATAGACCAATCGACGCGGATTTGCGCATGTAGCTAGAGTTTTGGGCGGGGAAGAAGCCTACCAATTTGGGTGGTCATCGGATAATATTTAGCGGGTAAAATAGACCATATCTTTTGTATTGAAAAAATTCAAAATTTTTCATTAAACCGCGAATATTTTAAATCCCGGCGAAATCAAAAGCCATGACAAGGTTACTTCTGATCTTTACATTCATGTTAACATCCATCAAATCGGATATATAGCAAAATATGTGCGATATATATGTCTATCAAAGAAGATAGCTTGAAAGATCTCATATATGTCGAGAACGGCTGAACTGATTTCGACAGTTCTCATTAATTCAGAATGGCCTCTTGGCAGGAAAGAAAAAACGTCTAAAAAATCGCATAGAAATATCTCTCTAAAGATGAAAATATTGATTTTGTAACATTTTCTCATATTTTTTCAATTTTGTCATATTTTTGGCATATTTTCATTTTGAATTAAACATTCGGTAATATTTCTACAGTTAACAAAACTAAGTAGTTAGGATATCCTGATATATGATATACAGATCGCTTTTATGGCCCGATTCTTACGAAATTTTGCATGGGGATAAGATGAAGGTCAGAATAGAACCCTATTCTTTTTGGAGATGATCGCCATATATTTAGCTGTTGAAATGGACCAACAAAATTGCAAAATTGTCAGCAGGTCGTAATTATCGCCCGATACTCACGCACATTTGAATGGGGGTTACCGGTCATTGCAAAAGCCAAGCAGTTTTGGATGGCCATCCAAAAATATTCAATGTGCGAAATAGTTTGCCAACTTTTGTAGACAAAATACGAAAATGACCATTCCAGTGACTTTTTGGAGAATTCACAAATACAGGAAAGACGCACTTTTGACTATTTCGTTAACGCTGATTTCATTGAAGAATATATTCAAATGTCTGTATCTCATATAGATGCATTTTAGTCAAAAACCAATGATAAATGTTAATCTTTTGCCACTTCTGAGAGATTATAGGTCTTTGGGAAATACTGGTTCCAGATCTAGGAAGACCATTTACGTACAAAATCTGCCAATAAATTGGAAATGAGCAAATTTGTTTAAGTTGCTATTATTTGAAAATTAGAGAACGAAACCTGATGGTTTTCTTTTATTATTTGTCACAATATCTTGTGGAATTCGTTCGAGTTTCTCGCCTATATAAACTGTATCGTTTATTATAGTGTTGTAGGGTATTCAACGGTCGGCCCCGTTCGACTGTAGCCTTTGCTTACTTGTTTTAAATATAATTCTTATCGAAGTCATATTATGTACTTTACAGCAATGTTATTTGGTACTAGAGGTACAAAATCCTCCGTCTCATTTGTTAAAAATCGATTTAAGGTTCGATATAGTTCCCCAATTGTGACTACTCTAAAGCCATGATACGCATTCAAATAAGGTTCATAGTTGGTACGATCGATTCCCATAAGTTCCCAATATAAACCTCTTTTGTTACGGGAGCTCTACTAAATACGCATAGTGGTGTCGGGTATAATATAGTCGGCCCCGCTCGATTTTTGACTTTTCTTTACTGGCTTATTGATCCTTTAGTAAATTTTATTGTGTTTAATGTTCAAGTAGCTTCTTATGTCTAATTGATACGCCATATTTTATTCATCTTTTTTTTTTTTTAATTAGAATACGATGTAGCCATAATAAATATGTATTTATACGATTTAAGGAACCAAATATTTAAAATCGATCCTATTAGGAGTAAATTCGGTACATTATTGGGACAACGTTAACTTCGGGGCATTCCTGACCCATGATAATGCATCGATATTTGTTATCAATCATGTTTTATAACTAATAATCAAAAGTAAATTATATGATTAGACGATGTTTGATTTTGAATATCACGTTTACCTTAATCTTAGTAAGTCATTATCATTCGCCATTGCTTATCGGGCAATTGTTGTTTATATTATTTTTCTTTGCCCTAATTAACACCCAACACCGTAACTTTAATTTTACTTTTTAACTTTAATCTTTTTTGGTTTTATTTCAAAATTGTAAAAAATATAACATAAAAATATAATACATATTCCGATGCCTTTCGACTTTTTATATTCCTTCTGTGAAGAGACACTTGGTAAATGTTCTTGCGATGAAAGACATTTTTCGACATCTCTGTAGGCAGATTCCATAGATGGAAGATGTGTTATTCATTCATATTCATACTCTCTTCTATGTGACCGAGGGTATGTTAAACTTTTCTGGGTTCTCCCAATGGCAAAACTAATAAAAGAAAGAAACATGAATTTAGTAAATATGTCAAATTATGTCTGCTTTTCTCAGTCCTTTCGTGGAGTAGAGATCTTCGCGCATTGACTAGGGTCTAAAGTAATTTCCTCGCCTTATGAGCAATTTTAGAACTTTTTTTTGTTTTAATATTTATAATGTTTATTAACAATTATGAAAATAGTAATATAGACAAGATAATAATAAAGAAATGTACTTAATTAATCACTCTTTTCCCTTTTCAGTATAACAGTATTGACATAGGATTTCTCAGTGTTTATGTTATGCACCCGTTTTGGAATAAATGTGTAGAGGTAAGTGCTTATAAACCCTAACAACTGTGTCCAGCTATTTAAACTATCCCATTTAGTTTCTTCCGATGTGGTTGGCGCCGAATATTCTAACATTTGTGGGATTTCTTATGACGGTGGTTAATTTTCTTCTGCTATCTTACTACGACTGGGACTTTGAGGCAGCAAATCCTGCAGAGAATACAGTACCGCGGTGGGTGTGGTCAGTGGCGGCCTTAAATATACTGATATATTATAATCTAGGTAAGTTGTGTGTGCGTGTGTTGTGAAATATTGCTTTGCTGACCAATGCGTTGCTCACAGATGGCATGGATGGCAAACAGGCACGGCGTACCGGTACAAGTGGGCCGCTTGGTGAACTGTTCGACCATGGCTTAGATTCATATTCGGCTGTTCTGATACCCATCTATATGTTTTCGTTGTTTGGATCGGACGATTTGCCACCTATTCGTATGTTTTTCGTCATCTGGAATGTGTTTTTGAACTTCTATTTGACCCATGTGGAGAAATACAATACCGGTGTAATGTTTTTACCTTGGGGCTACGACTTCACGATGTGGGTAGGTAGAACAACGCAGATTTGATGTTTTCATCTCACAGACATAATGCTTTTTGTTTTATTTTAGGGCGTAAGCATAACACTGTTTTTGACTACGGTAATAGGGCCAGGTATTTGGCGTGCCCGAACAATTTTCAATCTATCAATGGCCAATGTGTTTGAAATCATCTTAATCGGCTCGGGCATTGTCACAAGCCATCCAATCATCATCAAAAATATTTATATGTAAGTATTGACATAATGTTGGTTAGGGTAATCCGGCGTTGGTTTAAGCTCACCATTTCGAAATTTTCTTTTGAAGGAAATAAAAAAACAATGATGTAGGCAGGAGTGCTCCGAAATAATTAATTTTCGGGCATTTTTGTACATTTTACATTTGCAATATTGGACAAGCTTATGTGTGACCTGTTTTAAAAAAATGTGATTTTTTAAAAAAATATATAAAGGAAATATTTTTCATTTCATTGAACAAGCTTGCTCAAAGTGTGTTTCAGGTCCTTAACTTTTTGTTGTGCACCCGTGAAAGAGTTCCGAACAGCCTGTTCAGAATGAAAGGTTCTGTTAACGTCGCTCAAAGTAGGGTATATAATATAATTTAGAGTATTTATACTGATGACTCAAATAATCAAATTTTTCGGGATTTATGCATATTCGTTCGCCAGTTCTTCTAAAAATCCAATATACATGACAGAAAACTGCCTGTTCAGGTTCACGTTTTCGTATAGCCCCCATAAAACGGTACCCCCCGATATTTAGTATTTTGATGATTTTACCGACATTATTCACCGGAATTGTTTCAAATTTGGTGTTTTGAATTTCGTAATGATACTACAGCCTAAGACAGAAAAGTGACTTTGCAGGTTCACGTCTTCGTATAGCTCCATTATAACGGTACCTCCCTATATTCGGTATTTTGATAATTTTAGCTACATTATTCACCGATTTTTTTATTCAAGTTTCGCATTTGAATATTGTAATAGTTTATGAATGTGCCTATGGCTATGCCGGTCCACGTCGTCGTATAGGCCCTAATATAACGGCAACATTCGGTATTTTTAAGATTTTAATGGAATTTTTAAGGGATTTTATTTTTTTTTTATTTTGTGAAAATTGCCAAAATTGTTCCAAATGGTGGAGAGTATTCAAAGATCGGCCCGGCCGAATCTACAGCTTTTTCACTTGTTCAGAATTATATTCAATTTGATATTTCGTACGATTTCTCATAAAACCTATGCACGGCCCGAGGGTATACTTAAATTTGGCGTATACTTAAATTTGGCGTAATGTCGGTTCTGTCTGACTTTTCGTTTACCTTCCAGGCTGTTATTAAACATGATTCTTTTTTTAGGTCCTACAAAAATAAGACTGGCAAAATGAGGCCATTTTTGGAAGCAGTTCGTCCAATGTTCCCCTTCCTGTGGCTCTTTTTCTTCACCACAATTTGGGCCTTCTATTCTCGCAATAACGTTCTGAGCCTGGAACCACGAATTATGTTCATTTTATTCGGAACGTTGTTCTCGAATATTGCGGTGAGTAACCAAAAAATCAAAGCTGGAAAAAAATATTTATTTAAAAAATATTTCGCAGTGTCGTTTAATTGTAGCGCAAATGTCTGATACCCGTTGTGACGGTTTCAATATACTCATGTGGCCCCTGGTAGCCACTGTGGCTGTGAGCTGTTTTCCATGGTATGAGCAGGTGATGGGCAGTGAAATTGAAGCAAATGTCGAAAGGTGGATTGTTCAGGGTCTGACAATATTTGTGACCATAGCTCATTTGCACTATGGACATGGATTGGTGGGTTTTGCTGACGGCCATTCCGACGTTTTTTATAATGCATTTCTTTCTATTTTGCAGGTTCGGGAAATGTGTAGCCATTTCAAAATACGCTGCTTCAAAGTAAGAGATCGTCCCGTAACGACAGCAGTTCGTAAGGGTTTAAAGCATGCCGAATAAAACACATCTCAACTACCCAAATCATTGAGGGGTATTTTTTTCCAAGCACTAACAACCATTGGGGCCAAGTAAAGCAAAATGTGTGATTGTTACAGAACATGGATATATTTTCGGTTATCCTTCTTGTATTTATGTTGTGTTGTCGCAATGGTGTCAATGACAAACTGTAAACGTGTCACAGTTTTTTTCTTATTTGTGTTTGTATGTTTGTGCGTGTGTGTGTGGATAAGCGGAATGTGATCATAAATTTAAAAGTAGTTTTTCTTATGAAAATATATTCTAACTTAGGCTTATGTGTATGTGTGTGCATGTAATGAAATCTATGTGTGTTAGGTATGTAATTGAAAAAAAAAAAAGGAAAAATGGAAAAACGAATTTAATTCTCAGAAAGTAGCCTCTTTATCTCAATTATTTTTGGGTCTCAACTTGAACCATGTTAAGAGACACATTGCCCGTTATCCGTCATGTATCTCTAATACGTAAGTGTATGCATCGTTTGATTTGGTGAACATAATAAATAAATAGATTAAATGTCAATTTAATATATCATGTCGGTAGCAACGTCAGAATTGTAAATATACAAATATAACAATATTCTAAATCTTATTTATTCAATTAGTGTATATCTATTTCCATAAGCGTATTTTAGAAAGATATAAAAGAAATAATAAGAGAAAATAAATCATTAGGATTTGAAAATGCAAATGTAATTCGATTTATAAATCTGAAAAGGACTTTTTAGATTTAAAAATTAAATAGACGGAATTGTATTTGCCTTTAACACTTGGTAGATTGAATTTTCCTATGGAAAAATATCACAAGACTGAGCTCAGCAATATCGAAAATATCGAAGAAGAAAAATATCAATCGAAAAAAAGAAAATAATCTGTCAATCATTCAGGAAGCAATTCAAAATAATATGGGTTAAAAACTCTGCATGCAACTAATAAAATGGGTATATCACATAGAACGAATTATTCGAATCTATAAAACAGTTATTAATCCTATTTATTGATGGACATGTTAAAATAGATTACAAAACCAACACCGGCGGAAGAAGAAATGCAGCCAACGGCCGAGATCGTTTAAGAACACTGAATTACTTCGCTCGGAGCAAAGCCGAGGAACGCCACCAAAACATGGATTAGATTGACAAAATACAAATTAAGAAATACTTTTAATTATAGCTGTAAGACGTTATATTTTTACATACATAAGTGTATACATTTGACACATATTTATATACATAATAAAATTGTAATGACAATCTGTTAATTGTCTATGTTTGTTTTGAGGGACAACGTACGATGAAGACTTCTTCCTGTGAATGGAAACCGAATTTTGTAAAAAGATTTTTCGATATTTCGTTCGACGCATTGATCATGGTACGCAAGGCATGGCCTTCTTGTGAAACTCGTTTAAAAAATTCCTTGATGAGCACTGATGCAAGGCCATGTCTTCTGTAGCCTTCTCGAACATGTAGGGTTCCCAAAAATCCGCATTGACATCTAAATGTAAAATATATAAAAACAATTGTTAAATATTTTAAATAGTTCTGTTTAGGACAAACCTTGTACACCAAGCCACTAGTTCTTTGTTGTCCTTGCGATACACGCCAAGACTTATATTGTATTGAATTAAGGATCGGATAAATTCTAAAGAACCTTCTTGACGAGAATACCAAATGTCATTAACAATTGCGGCATCTGAAATATTCAAGGGCTCGACGACAAATTCATCGGGACATCTTAAAATAATAATAATAATAATGAAAAATATCAATATACATTACAATTTGCGAATGATTATAAATATAACAAGGATATATTAAAACAAGTAAGCAAAGGCTACAGTCGAGCGGGGCCGACCGTTGAATACCCTACAACACTATAATAAACGATACAGTTTATATAGGCGAGATACTCGAAAGAATTCCACAAGATATTGTGACAAATAATAAAAGAAAACCATCAGGTTTCGTTCTCTAATTTTCGAATAATAGCAACTTAAACTGATTTGCTCATTTCCAATTTATTGGAAGATGTTGCACATAAATGGTCTTCCTAAAGTTGGCAAACTATTTCACACATTGAATATTTTTGGATGGCCATCCAAAACTGCTTGGCTTTTGCAATGCCCGTAACCCCCATTCAAATGTGAGTGAAGATCCTGCTAACAATTTTGCAGTTTTTTTTGGTCCATTTCAACCCCTAAATATATGGCGATCATCTCCAAAAAGAGTAGGCTCCTATTCTGACCCTCATCTGATCCCCATGCAAAATTTCGTTAGGATCGGGCCATAAATGCGATCTGTATATGATATCCTGATATCCTAACTACTTAGTTTTGTTAGCTGCAGAAATATTACCAAATATTTAATTCAAAATTAAAATATGCCAAAAATATGACAAAATTGAAAAAATATGAGAAAATTTTAAAAAATCAATATTTTCACCTTTAAGAGATGTTTTTATGCGATTTTTTTAGACGTTTTTTTCTTTCCTGCCAATAGGCCATTCTGAATTAATGAGAACTGTCGAAATCAGTTCAGCCGTTCTCGACATATAAGACATCTTTTAAGCATATCTTCTTTGGTAGACATATATATCGCACATATATTGCTATATATCCGTTTTGTTGGATGTTAACATCAATGTAAAGATCAGGAGTAACCTTGTCATGGCTTTGTGATTTCGCCGCGATTTAAAATATTCGCGGTTTAATGAAAAATTTTGAATTTTTTCAACAAAAAAGATATGGTCTATTTTACCCGCTAAATATTATCCGATGACCACCCAAATTGGTAGGCTTCTTCCCCGCCCTAAACTCTAGCTACATGCGAAATTCCGCGTCGATTGGTCTATAATTGTGACCTGTAGAGCAACTGCAAAATCAGCAAATTTTTCAGTTTTTGGTCCATTTCAACCCCTAAATATTATGCAATCCTCTCCAAAAGAAATAGGGTTCTATTCTGACCTTAACCCCACCTACATTTTAAATTTCGTGAAGATCGGGCCATAATTGCGACCTGTAGAGTGATTACAAATTAACATGGACAGACGGACAGACGGACAGACGGACGGACGGACATACATAGCTAGATCGGCTCAGCTCGGCGAGATAGGAAGATCCATATATACTTTCCTATGTGGGAAATCAATATTTCGTGGTGTTACATAATTTTTGGCCCAATCAAACTTATAATACCCTCAACACATAGTGTTGTAGGGTATAATGAAAGTATAAGTTCAGTTATTTTAATGACAGTCAGTTATTAAATGACATTGTGGTACATCGTAGCATAATTATCAAACTTAGATCGAGCTATGAGATGGGCAATATCGGCCCACTCCTTCTGGTACCTCCCTCACAAAGGTCTGCAAATCATAGTATTTGTATCATTGCTAGGTCAGTTGAGAAAAAGTGTAAAATTTTTGAATAATTATAGCTCTTATAAAATGTCTTTGCATTTCGCGCATATCAATATTTTTACCAACACAAGATCTGGTGTGAAAGTCGGTCCATTACTTCGGGTACTTCCCCACAATGGGTCAAAAATTTGAATAATTATATCTCTCATAAGATTCGAAATTAACATCTGATTCATTCTAAACTTCACACATTTCAATATTTATTCTAACACAAGATCTGCTGTGAAGATGGGATATATCGACCCACTACTTCTGATACCTCCCCACAAATGATCAAACATTTTCAAACTGATATCTCTCATAACTTGCGAAACAAGTTAACGATCCTTTCAAACTTAGTAAGTCTAAACATTTTTTCCTCAGCCAGAGATCTGATGTGAATATGGAATTTTGCGACCAACTCCTTTTGGTACCTACTCCACAAAATTTCAAAAATATAAAAATTCGAAATAAATGTTCGATTTTCTTTAAATTTTGAGCATACTTATACTTTCATCTGTATTAGATTAAGTGGTATACTTCGGTCCGCTATATTTCTACATTTTACAAAAATTATCAAATTTCTCATAAAATGCAAAGGTAGTAAAATGAAAGTGTTGAGCAATGGTCACGTTTACTTTATTTTTACGCTCATAGTATACACGTGCATCATGCACGTGTACCTTTTACAAACAAAACAATTACAAAATTCGTTTGTTCTGATATACAGCTTTAATTCACAAACAGTTTTTTAAATTAATTATGTCGCTTTGATAATACATTGAACTTACCTAATATGGGAATACATAGCAGCATTCGGATCGTGTTCATATATTTGTAGATTAACCTTTCGGTATTGTAATCCAATTTCCTGAAAGGTTTTCTCCACTATGTCAATTAGTGATGCCGGCAGAGCTGTTATTTTAAAGTTGGGATCCCAGTTGATTGACCGGAGTGCCGTGGATACCTCCTCCTCGTCGTACGTCACACAGTTTATATAGTACTGATACATATCCTTCAAAATCAAATTAAGTTGAACTTTAGAGTAGATATTCACTCATATTGTTTTGTTTTACTTGTTTTCGTTTATCTACCTCGATGATAAAGAGCCCACTTTTCCGCCAAGAATTACTAACGACATATGCTTTTACAAAATCCAATTGTGGATTTGATTCAAACCACTGAACATAATTTGTAAGTGTATAATAGCCATGGCGAGTTTTTAATGATTTTTCTTCATACAAGCCACGGAGTACTTTCAAATCTTCAACTGTTTGTAGTAATTCAAATTTACTCATTTTTTATATTTTCAGTTTTTATTGGTATTGTTTTATTCCGAGTTATAAAAATGCGTTTCCTGATGACACATACTGGACGATGTATAAACTACAACTAAACGATGTAATTGTTTTCTACACTGAGTTTAAACAATAAAGAGTGTGAGAGAACGTATTTTTTTCTCTTTAAACATTATTCTCCATCTGGCCAGGTGAAATTCTCCGCTGTGGGTAAAGTACGTAGCCAATAGCAACGATCGGTTACGGTAAAACCAATCTTTTCGAACATGCCTCGCGATGCTTTATTATCCTCGTTGACAAGTGCCATAACATCCTCGCCCTGTTCACCCAAAGAGCGAGCTATGGCACGGGTTACAACGCTTCCCAAGCCCTGGCGCTTATATTCGTTTTTGACTTGTAGTGCGCCCAAAAAGCCACCCTGTAGGCTATGTGGAAAATAAATGTATAAATATTGTTTGCCGTATTAGAGGCTTTTTCTTACCGTAAACACCATGCCACCAATTCATCCGTTCCATCAGCATAGACGCCCATGTTTACATTCCAATCAATGAGTCGTTTTATCAGAAACAACGAGCCATTGTGGCGATTGGGCCATAGCTTGTCGATTGTTTCAGCATCAGTGGTAGAGGTAAGGGGTTTAACATAAAAACCTTTCGGACAACTGGAATTGGGAGTAAAATAAATACGTATGCATGTTTAAGAAATATTTTAGTTAAAATTTCTTAAAAACAAATATTGATATGTATTTCTAATTTCAAATAGGGGAGAATCTGAAAGTGGGTCCACTTATAACAAGCGTATCCTAGATACTTGTTAAAGTCCACGAAATAAAGATACAACCCGCACCAAGTCTTAAATTACTCAAAAGATATCCAATATCAGTACAAAATTCCCACTTTTAGAAATTTTCGAGATGACCCAATTGGTCATAATTTTAGTTTTCACATGCTGGCCGTTTTAAATAGTTTTCATTTGTATGTTTAAAAGAAACATTTACCTTATTTTCAGTTTCTTCGCCACATTGTGCGGCATATAGTACATTAGCGTCAGACTATCGTATTCACACTGCAGACCTTTGTTGTGCACAATATTCAGCACCGACTGTCGGTGGCACTCACGAAAAGAACTTACTTTCAGGCCAATCGACCAATCCAATTGTTCCAATGCCCGGTAGAGATTCTCACAGCTGGTGGTATTAAGAGAACCAAGAAACACTTGATATCGATCGACAACAACATAGAGAGCTTCCACATGATCGCTCTCCTCTCTCATCGTGTAGATCTTCAAGTTTTTTATGTTGCCATCCAATCTCTTCCATTTGTAAAAATTATCTAAACAATAATAGCCAACGCAGTGTTGGGGCCAATCTTTCAAATACAGATCTCTCAATTTGCAAATATTCTCAAGATCGTTAACTTCGATTAGTTTCTTATCATTTTCTATGGCAGACATTCTTGTAATCAAAAATAAACGAAGTACGGTTAGGACTGAGCGTATCAAGCGTAGATCTTGCTTGAGAGACCAGATAATGGAAACTAAAACAATTTCAAATTTTAGCTTGTTCTCCATGTGAGAAATATACGACGATTTAGAGTTGCCAAGCAATGTTAATATTGTTGTTGTATCTTTTTTGTATCCGATAATACAAAAAATTAAGGGGGATGTACATCAGAGCTGAGCAAAATCCTAAATAAAAAAGAGATTAGTTAAGAGAAAACTTGAATTACGTTTTTAGCTGTATTTATTTCAACCAAATTTAAATATGAATCTTGTCTTACATTTTGTATAAATCAATTATTGGAAGAATTAAATAAATAATACATAAATATTGATTTGTTGCCGGGTTAATGACAACAAAGAATAATTGAACTGGTGCGCTAGAACACATTGTTTATCAGCTAGGATATACATACATATATACATATGTAACACAACCCCTTTTTATAATGTTTTGAACTTGCTATTATCACATGTTTTTAAATTTCAAGAAATTTAGCCAACGAAAGTTGTCATAAGGTATCCAAAAAAACTTATATTTATTAAAAAAAGTTTTCTTTTAAATATTTTAAAAAATAAAATATATAATACAAAACTATTTTTAAACTTTTTAAAGTTACATTAATGTTTAAATTTTATCCCTCAGTTATTAAAAAAAAAAAACAACAAAAAAGTAACAATACGGCTAAATTATCGTGCAATATATTTTCACTGAAAACATGAATATTTCATATCGATGACCCACTCTATTAAATAACACGTTTGTTGGGTTATGTTCTCTCAAAGATATAGTAAACTTTGTATATGTTTTTGTTTTTTTAAACAGAGGTGAACAAATCAGATAAAGAGATAATTAAAGAGAAAAATGTTAAATGATTTTTAATGCTTTATAATTTGTTTAACTTTTTTAAAACATGCATGTCATCTGAAATGGTAAAAAAAGTAGTCATTCAATGTTATGTCTGGCTTTCAATATTAATATGGTGGTGGGATAAAGTTCACATGTTGGGTATAATATTTTTTCAACATGTGACTTTAAAATGTTAACAGTAAATTTAGAAAAATGATAATAAAACAACACATTTTATTAAAAAAATTAAACATTTACAATACAAATATTGATCTGGTCGAACTTATCTTCAACAACTTTCTTATAAAGAATAAAATTCAAAAAAGTTCAATCTTTTAATTTTCATATGTTTTTGTCTCCCTACGTTAGTAAAGTAGTAATTTGTCGGTCCCAACTGCTACGTTATAGAGAAGTTCGACGGAACGTCTCGTTGCGTATTTCGAGGGAAAAACATCACTATAGAGCGTTTTCATAATTGTCTAATTCTAAAAAATTAACATATGTTTTCCACAGTCAAATTTATTGTGATTGATTAATTATCAACATTTCACAGATAATGATTTTTATGTAAATGAAAATTTAATACAATGTCTTGTCGAATAATTTTCGGCTACCTTGTTAATGTGCCGTCACCAAAGATTACACTCCGCCACTTGTAGACAATAAAAGTTTTTTTTATTAAAACTAACAACAAAAACAGAGGTGATTAGACACTCTCTTTCCCGCTCTGTTTTTTGCACTGAATATGAGAGCTTTAGTGCAAAAATTTAGTTTCCTTCTAGATGTTGTAACGTGTGGAACTCTGACATTTTGCGGTTGGATTTTTTTAAGAGAAAATATGAATAAATTAATTGAGATACCAACAGAGAATTGGCCTCAGCTACGTGATTTATATGCTGGACATAAAGATAAAGCTTCATGCTATAACACCATACAGACATTCATTGATTGGATCAGACAGGAACCTTCCTTACCCCTCAAGATTTATTCTCTAAACAGTGAATGGCAGATGACTGGAACATATGTGGCCCACTTAATGGTAAGCATGAAGCGACTGAAGTTAACATTTATTCAATGAATATTTTTATTATTTTTAAGGCTTTTAATCAAGTGTTCTGCAATACGCTGAAAGATGATTTATATGAGTTGACTGAAATTTTAAACTGTTTTGATAACGGTCATTTGATAGCTGGCTTTCAAGAGCGGGTCTTGCCGGCTGTTGATAAATATTTTCTTGATTCGGGGCTGAGCAAGGATCAGTTTGGAAATACTTGCACCATTTGGTACCACATTTCTAGAGATGAAGCTCTAAATTTTGACACCAAGTAATAAATTTAATTTACATTTGCTAGGAAAAAAAACAATAAATTCTCTTCCCCATAGGTTACCTGAGAATATAACAGCTAAAGATTTGAACGAGAGTTACGCCGAACAAATAAACAATGTGTGGCCTCATCGCAGCGAGGGTTCGGTGAACTTTGTCAAAATGCTCATACGACTGAACAAAAGCGTGGGCCTTTTCGAAGATGGCAAATTGGTGGCATGGTGTTTGTTGTAAGTATCATATTTGGTATATTTAGATGTCTGACTAATGTTTCTTTTGACAAAAACAGACTGCCCCTTGGAGCCCTTGGTCTATTGCAAGTTGAAAATACTCATAAACGTAAAGGGTTTGGATCACTTGTTGTAAAACTGTTGTCAAAATTCCTAGCAGAGAATAATATCGAAGTGACAGCTCCAGTTGTCGTTAAAAATGTTGCTTCACGTTCTATGTTTGAAAAATTAGGCTTCAAAGAAGTCGACAAAGTTTATTGGCAATTTAAATTATGAAAAAAAAAATCCAGAAGCGGAAAATAATAATTTTCAGTAAATGATTTGAATGTGCTTTGTTGTTGTTTTACTTTATTCATCTAGATAGGGGATGTGCAAAGGTTTATGACAAAAACATAACATTATCACTTTTTTTGTTTTAAGAACCCATTTTATTTCAAGAAAATTGACATTTTACATGTCAATGGGAACCTTTTGAACATGTCAAACTTATTGCATAACATATAGATTGCACTTGATATTACTATCTAATGAAATGAAATGTAAGGCGGCCATTACAATGGATGTTTAGGATAATCCAGTATTTTCTATTATACCCTCCACCATAATATGGAGGGTATATTAGTTTTGTCATTCCGTTTATAACAACTCGAATTATACATTTTTGACCCCACAAATATATATAGCTTCCGAACGAAATGAAGTAGGTTGATAAAATTTTACTCAAATGTATATTATGAGTGCAGGACTTTTGGTATTGAAATGTCCATGTTTTCGTATAGTCCTCACATAACGTTACCTCCCGATATTCGGTATTTTGATGATTGCTAAAATCATTCAAATTATTCACAGGAATTATGAGTAAAATAAATAAACATAGGATAATATGAGAGGGTGGAATCAACACAAACCGTATGTTGGGCAATATAGTTTCTTTTCGATAGCTGTGTAAAGATCAGGGGCTGGAATCTTGCTTGTGAATAAATCAAAATTAAAAAGTTTCGTAAACGTAACGCTAACAAAATGACGCAAGGCAGTAAACATATGTATACGCATTTTCAGGACTGATTGCAATGCCATCTATATTTTGTGACACAAAGACTAGCTACTTTTTTCCCACAAAATGTGTACATGTTAAACATCAACATCGTTTATAAACATGTTGAGTTTGTATGCTGTGAATGCCTGGCTGTTTGACAGATGCGTATAAGCGATACGGATTCATGTATCTCTCATACGTTCCACCCCACTTGCAGTGCACGCGGTTCCGGCAACTCGGCGAATAAGGGTTACTTTTATGGGTGTAAATAAATGTACAGGAAAAGAAAAGTACATTTTCCATTTTCCATCCCTTATTTTCGAGCGGTCGATATTAGCGCCTGTGAGGTTTCTTTGCCACCCGAATGATTTTCCCTTGTCAATTGGCAGTTCGTTCCACAGGAGACAAGTGCTTTTTTTGTTGTTTACCCCAAGTTTGAATTAATCAATGTTTATTTTGGAAAATTAATTTCGGTGATGGTGATTTTTCCTTTAACCGTTGCTGGTGAGTGGAGACAGAGTGAAAAACTTATTCACAAATTCGTTTTTTAAAAAGAAAATAAACACCATTTGCGAAGATTCCGTGCAAATACACACAGTGCAAAACACACGTTTCTAGGGCAAAGAGCATAAACTGGATTTTTGAATGTCAAGTGCAAACGTGAAAGAACGCCCCTCAGGAATGGCTCCCATTCTACGGAAATGTCACAGATTATTTTAAACAAAATAATTTGGAAATTTTAATTCAAATATTAATTTTTGAATGGATTTTGGTAAATATCGGCAGACATAAATAAACAAAAATTATGATATCGATGATAACCTGACCCCCAACAAGGCTAGTTTGTATGTAAATTTTACCGTTATTGGCACGATTCTGTATTGGTGGGTGTAGAAATGTGTGTTTTTTATGAAAATTATATAAGAAACTAGACAAATTGACCATATTGTGTATGTTGCAGTCCAGAAAAAAACACGTAGCCTTAAACGTGCACACTATCAAAATATATGACATTCCAAAAGATGTATGTATGTATGCATGTTTGTAGATATGCTCGCAGCCAAGGCGCAAACTACAAACACCACAGTGAATGCAGCATAAGTGAAATTGAAACAGGAGAAAAAAAGAACAACATTTGTTTTAGTTAATCGATACGTTAATTAGAAGAAGGTACGCAAAAATGGTCTGAAATCAATTTGGCTCTTTTAATCGACATTTGCTAATACAATTTGGCATATAAAGCGGAATGATTCCAATTCTGAGTGTGGCTTTTTTTTTTTAAAAATACACTATATATAAAATGCGTTGTCAGGGAATTCAAAACCATTCGAATGCTGAATATTTTTATATTTTGGAAACAATTGTCTAAACTATTTAATAGGAACCAAATCCGAATGAGTGCAACGCATATAGTTAATCTCTGGGAACACAGTGTCCACCAGTGCTACATTGAATTTTAATTTATCGTTTTTTGAAGTATATATCGAGACTAACACATGTTTTTATCCTCCACCATAAGATGACATTTGCAACACCTTGAAATATTCGTCGACAACCCCATTAAGTGTATACAATTCTGAATCGAGTTAACGATATCTGCACGGCCTTTTTTCGTAATAATAGATAGGTCAAAAAATTTAGGATAAATTAATGAAATTTGGTATAGACTTCTATTGAACTCGTATAATATTTGGCGCTGAAAATATCAGAAAATTGTCATTATATGTCCATTGTTTGATTTTTTAAGTATTTTGAAGATTTCAGACATATATTTTTCCAAATTTGTTGTAATATGGTATTTTAGGTTCTCAGGGGATATAAACCGTCCCTGCCAACAATGTTTATCATTGGTACCCATATGGCTGTGCCTCCTGACATTTCAAAGATTTTGTGGTTTCATTGGATGTGATCCACTCTACGAAAAGTTAATTGGTCTATGACGCTTCTAATGGTACTGGCCGATTTAATGTGCTTTAGTCCCGGCTAAAATTTCCATCCGATTAGGCTGCTTTGGAATATTTTTTAAATACCCCAAAGTATATTTTTGATCAGCATACAATTTCATGTCGATGTAGCTATGTCTGTGGAAATCATTCTAGCTTCCAAACAAAACGAAGTAGGTTGATAAAACTTTACTCAGATATGTTTTATGTCTGCACTTTTAGTATTGAAAACGAGCTATATATTGGTATGAACCCCATATAAGTGTAGCAACAGAATTAATTTTTTTTGTATGGTAAAGTCCAATTTCCAAATCGAATTTGCTGTAAGTTGGAGATATTTGTTTCCAGTTAGTAGGAAACATCCTTGCATAAAAGTCAAAGTTTTGGTATAGATCCTATATAACTTTACTTGTAGGATTATTGTCACAGTTTTTACCGGGATTGTTTAACATTTGGAATTTAGAGTTCCTAATGTCTGCATAAATCCCCACTTTCGAATAGTCCCCATATAACGGTATCTCCCTATATTCTGTATTTTGAAGTATTTAGCTACATTTTTCAATTTTCCACGTTTTCGCATAGCCCCCAAAAAATAATAATTACAACAGGATTTATTCCAGTTTACAAGTTCCTTCCAAGGGGTGGAGGGTATTAAAAGTTCGACCTGGCCGAATTTAGCTATTTTTAAAATCAAATTAAGTTTACTTACCAACTAACGGAAAATCATATTTCTCATAGAAAGTCATTATCCGATTTGGTTGGATTTTTTACATTGTGGAATCAACATTTACAATTAGTTCACAACGTTAAATCTAGTGTAAAGATGGAATATGTAAGTCCACTCCTTAGGAGGTACCACAAAGTCAAAGATCATAATTTTAATATAATACTTTTTTTGTTACCTTTTTATACCCTCCACCATAGTATGGAGGGCATATTAAGTTTGTCATTCCATTTGTAACATCTCGAAATATACATTGTAGACCCCACAAAGTATAAATATTCTTGATCAGCACAAAATTCTATGTCGATGTAGCGATGTCCGTCCGTCTGTCCTTCTATCTGTCTGTGGAAATCACTCTTCCGCACGAAATGAAGAAGTTTGATAAAATGTTACTCAAATGCTCAAGTCTGCAGGACTTTTGGAAATAGGCCATGTAGGTCCACGTTTTGGTATAGTCCCCATATAATGGCACCCCACTATATTCAGTATTTTGATGATTTTAGCGACATTATTTACCGGAATTGTTTCAAATTTGGTATTTGAAGTTTGCAATGGGTACTACAGCCAAATTCGTTTCAAATTGTGGCCGGGCCGAACTTGCAGCTTTTTTATGAAAAAATGCTTAATAATCCTAATTCTAATAAAATATAAAACGAGTCCCGATTTTCTTTCTTTACGCTTCGAATATCTTAATACTTTATATGTTTATATGACAAAGGTGGAATGATATGTATCATCGACTGGTGTTATACAACTGTCGGCAAATCCGATTCATATCGAACTTAATGTTTTTTTAGTGTTTACTTACAAAAATTAATATGAATTTTTTGTTATCTATTTAAATTTTTTCCCCGACGTTTCCTCCCACTTTCTTAAAGCAAAAATCTATATCAACTCTTATTAGAGATACCCATAAAGGGATTTTTAAATTTTGAAATCTTTACCAGTATTTTTTGTCTTTTATTTTTTCTATTTCGAGGTTAAAAAGTATAATAATAATTGTCTGCCATGTAAATTAATATTTTCCATTTTAAGCCAAAATTACAGGTCCTTTTTTACTACAGGCTAATTTGAGTAATTTGGAATACCTGTGAAAGTGCATGGGCTGCACCACATGAAATAAAATTAAAGGAAATTATAAAACACAAAACGATATCAAAATCTTTTTCAAATGGTGACATATCATTTCCAAACAACTTCCATACAATTTACAAAATTCAAATGTTTAAGAAAAATTCCATTTTTTGCCAGATTGAATTAAAAAATATACCGTTTTTTATTTTTGAATATGTTTTGACGTTATTATACCTCAGAATCTAGTTATTTTAAAGATTTTAGTTAAATTCTTGCCTGAATGTCAAGTAATATCCCCGAGCCCTATAATTTGTTGCCCAAACAAAGTGTCTGCCATCGCCTTGTTATTCAAATATTGTTTTTTTCCATGATGTGAAATTAATAAATTTCACATTAATGTTCTTGACTTTAATTGACCTTTGTTAATTAATAGTTTTTTTTGTAATAACTTGAATTGAATGTATTTGTGTGTGTGAGTGTATATTAATTTATTGCTTCCTTTGTCTATCAATGTCATTGGAAATATTCCCAAATCTAAATAACATTTTAAGATAAATGTTATTTATTGGAAAAGACAATGATGAATGTGTTTAGAGTTAAGGCTCCCCAAAAACATTTCGGAAGTTCCATGAAAATGAGACATTCTGTTAAGGAAACACCCACAAGGTGTGGACTTTTACTTTTGGGCCAAAGAAAGATCTTCAAAATTTGATAAAGACTTTATTTGGTGACAATATCATAGTTACCTCTGACAAAACCTTACTATGCTATTTTCAGCTTGAAAATTAATAGCTCAATCTTTTAATAGTAATACATCCTAGAAATTGTAATGATACGGTTTTTGATATATTTTGATTAACCCGAGGTTATTACAAAAATCCACAAACATTGAAAACTACTCGGAATTCGGATTTTTTTTGATATTCATATCAGATACAATTTTTTCCAAACACATTTTTCTAGGAGGTTGTTCTTGTCACAGAGAACAAGTCTCTCTATACACCTACATAACATCTAAATGAGTCTCTTTCCTATTAAAAAAACTCCGTTAGATTCCCAGTTTGAGGACATTGAAATGTGGACTTTGGACACTATATAATGATCCATCTTTACCCTACTCTTTCCAATGTAGAATATAATGATAGAATATCTTCTTGTTTTGAGTTTTCGATGACGCACACAAATATAATTTGTTTGTCTAGACGTCTGCCTGGTTGTGTACAAGCCTCAACAAATATATCGTCACTACGAATCGACAATGACGAAACTGGCAGCATTTCGTCTATTAAATATTCCACCGGGGACACATGTACGTACATATGTATGCTACAAGTATATAATTACATACACAAATGACGATGAACGAATGAAAAATACAAAAGAAATTGTTGTCAAGGAGGTGTGTCAACAACCAAGTCAAAACAACATATAAACGTGCGTCTGTGTTTTGGACATTTTTCAAAAAAAAAAATAATATCGTTATTATTTAAGATATTACACTCGAAAAGTTTTGCATTCGATGTCAAAAGAGTCAGTTGTCTCTCAGCAGTCGACATTATTAGTCCTTAATATTTTTGGTAGTTCAATTCAAAACTTTTTCTCATTTTTTAAAAAAGTTTTCACCAGTTTTCCATTTTATCAGTGATATCATTTTCTAATTAACCAGACTCCTTTTATAAAAGAATATATTTATATTCAATATTATTTTACTTTGTATAACATTCAATATCATCAACCTAAAAATAATTTCGATCATCAGAAGCTAAACATCTCAATTTATTTATGGATCATGATTTGGTTGACCTACAATAGTACCCAATGAATACTATATATTCCAGGGAGACCTTCAAATTCTGGGAATTATTTTCTTTTTTTTTTGCCGTTTGGTGTTCAGAGTTGTGGTATTGGAATTTGAATAACACGGACTCAAATATACTGGAATTTTTAGAAAAACATTAACAAACAATTCGCAGAATTATTGTCATCCTAAGCTTAGATTAGGCCTCTATTGGTAGACTCCAGAGTGTTAATTGCTTCTTCATCTTATTTAAATAAGAAATAAAAATCTATGCCACTCCAACATCGGATAGCATTTAATTTATGTTGAACCGAAAAAAAAGGAAAAAACTTCATACATTTTTCTTTGAGTGTCTTCGGCTATATGTGTTGGGCTAATATTTCATATTGAAGACAATTTTCAAACAGCTGCAGATGATATTGTTAAGATCCGTACCGGACATTAGAAGTCCCTAGAGAGTAAAATTCAAATGCCAATGCATATATTTCTTGATCACAGCGACAGAGAGAGTGAGAGAGAGAATAAAGCATCTAAAGAAAAATAGATAGGAAAAATACTACTCCTACACACACACACACACGCACGCATGCACGCACCCCAATACATTATGCATATGTGTTATTTTGTCCAGTACTGTTTTAGATTTTGCAAGGTGAGGAGCTCTGGCGATTTTGGTGGCGATCCAACGACACGGGAAACAATGGACAAATTATTAGAGATACCCCCGGAGAAATGGCCCCAGCTGCGTGACTTGTATGTGGATCACAAAAATCGGGCATCATGCTACAGCACGCTGCAGTCGTTTATCCATTGGATCACTCAAGAACCGGAATTGCCGTTGCGGATTTATTCCCTCAACGATGAATGGCAAACCAATGGAACTTATGTGGCCCATTTAAGTGTGAGTACCTGGTGTAACCATAACCATCTACCAAATTGTATTTATTGTCATATCTTCTATTCTCTCAACAGGCCTACAAACAGTTATTCTGTAATACCCTGAAGGATAATTTAGACGACCTGATTGTCATATTGAACTGTTTTGACAATGAAAATATTGTTGCCGGCTTTGAGGAACGCCTCATACCGGCCGTAGACAAACACTTCCTTGACTCAGGTTTGAGTCGGGAACAGTTTGAGAAATATTGCACCATTTGGTACCACATTCCTAGAGAAGAAGCCTTAAAGTTTGACATTAAGTATGACAGTTGTTGTAGTTGCATCTTAACTTCATAGTAATGGTTTCTAATTCCGTTACAGGCTACCTGATAATATAACTACCAAAGATTTAGATGAAAGTCATGCCGAACAAGTTAACAATGTGTGGCCTCACAAATGTGACGGATCAGAGAATTTTGTCAAAATGCTAATACGGCTGCACAAAAGTGTGGGTCTCTTTGAGGGCGACAATCTGGTGGCTTGGTGTTTGAGGTAAGGGTTAATTCTAAAAACTAAAAACAAAACTAAATACAACTCTCTTTTTCACAGACGACCCTTGGGATCACTTGGCCTACTTCAGGTCGAGAACACTCACCAACGCAAAGGCTTTGGTTCGCTGGCTGTGAGATTGATGGCAAAGTTCTTGGCCGAAAACGATTTGGAAGTAACGGCCACTGTCGTGGATGGAAATGTTGCTTCGAGCGCCATGTTTGAAAAGTTGGGCTTCAAACAAATCGACAAAATCTACTGGCAATACAAGATCTAAAAGTATTAACAGGAATAACAGAAACTCATGTGATAAAAAGTAGCGAAATTGACAACCTATATACTCATACTCATACAAACAAAACCGACAGACAAACAAACAAAGAGACATACATACATACAAGTGTATATCAAGAATATTTATGTTTACTTTCAACTATATCTCTCTATCTATCTATCTACCTACCTATCTATCACTGTACAGTGTTAAGAACTATATTTGTAAGTCGCAAGTGAAACCCGATGGGAAAGAGTTTTCTTTTATCAGAGCTAACTTGTTTCGATCTTATGGACCTAGAATAGTTATATTTATTAAATATACATTAGTAAATTTAGACCTAGTTAATTATGTTAACGAGTGAACGAGGATAGAAAAATATATATACATACATACATACATAGACATTAACTTTAGTATTAATTAGCACGAGCACCTAGGTGTCTGTCGTGGTGTATCTAAATTATATCTTGAAGCAATATATGTAGTGTTCATACAAGATTGTGGAATAAAGTTCCAGACAGTTTGAATGTACTTATGTTCAGACCTGTTCTAAATACCTACAACGGATCAAAGACAAGTGTTTTTTTTTTGTGTCATTCTTTATGTCATGTGGATGGTTCTGGCAAAAACATCATAGACTTTGAAATTTCGATTTCAATATTCCTGTCATAAATTCTTTTAACGATCTCCTATTGTTTGTTTTTCAAAAATATATGTGTTGTTCGGAACGAACTTTTGGCCACCCGGATATTTATAGAACATGTTAAGCAATTATCGGTTTGAAGGCCAAATTTTCCATTTAATTTTCATGTCACAATAGGTTATTGCCAACAATTTTCTTGACGAAAACAAAAAATAACAGCATATCGGCAGAGAGCAGTGAATACATAGTGCGGATCACGAGACACGAGTGTGAAGCAATCTCTTTATGTTCCAATCGACCACACTGTGCTACAGTCAAAAACAATGTGGGCGTGACGGCCTTTGATTCCGAACACGTGAAACAACATCAAATAGTTCCCATAAAGTTTTATGCATGGCATGGGAGGTAAAATAAATTTATGTTGTTTTGATCGTATTTCTTTTTTAATTATTTTTATAATTCGTTACCAGCGGGCTGATTCGGACAGTGTTACAACAATAAAATAAATATAACTAATTTTTTTATATGTATTTCAACTTTTTCTTGGCATATTTTCAACTTCTTTAAGAGTTAATTTTAAGTTGCAATGTAAATACTTTTTCTCTGTTATAAGAAACGACATGACACGGCTTTTGAATAATCGAAAAACAAATTGAAAAAAAAACTTAAAGCAATATCACGGAAAAATATTGTTAACCTTTCATGTCTTGATAGCAATACGGTGTCATTAAATCTTCATATTATGGTACCACCTGATATTCAGTTAACTTCATGGCTAGGATACTGTGCAAGGCATGAGAATATTAGTTTTTGGGAAATCGAACAAAAGGGTGCCCAAATTCGTAATAAATATATAAAAGATAAGTTATTTTTTTTAATTTTTTATAAATAATAATTCTAAAGCCATACTTTTTTTGATCGAATTGTATAAAAAAGTCGTTCTGACATATCTGGATATTTTTTTGCAAATGTTCGTCATTCCCCAACTAATGCTTTTATGGAAACAAAAATTGAACACGACCACTTTATTTACTACACTTATAACTAAGGAACGGCTGTACTGACTATGACAATTCGCACCAATACGGAAAGTGCTGCTGGCAGAAAAAATCGCATAAAAATATGCAGAAAAATATGTGAATAATTTTTTTACATTTTGTCATATATTTTTTTATTTTTGCCATTTTTTTTATAATTTTTTTCAATTTGTCTTCTAATTTGAATTGCATGTAAATTTTTTTGAATGCCAATTAAGTTATGGCGGACCACACTATCACCATGGCCGGCGATTGAGTTCTGGTGGCTAACAAAATGTGCACATTTTCGGCTGACCTCTTTGGCAAGTAAACACGATAATTTTGTTTGTTTATAAACTGCTGGACAACGAATGTTCTCTCATCGGAGAAAACCAAATTCGGCAGTTCACCACTTTCGGCCAAACGAAGCAACTCTTTTGAGTCTATTTTCTTTCTGTTGCGGTGTAAGTTCTTACACTTTTTGGAATTTCAATGGCCGAATGTAAGCTCACAAGCCATTTTTCGACCACTGCGACCGGGTTTTGATCAAGACCCTTCTGTACTTTTCGAAGCATTTCTGCTGATGTTTCTGTTTTCTTCCGTCCACTTCCTTGACGTCGGGCTACGCTACCAGTATCACGGTAACGAGCGATGGTACGAGAAACAAACGATTTGTTCACATTTAAATGCTGTAGGGCTCTAACTATAGCTTGTGGTTTTCAGCCAAATGTAAAGAAATCACACTATCACGCTTGAATTGAATCACGAATAACTTTTATCTGGAAAATGCACACCAAAATTCTTTTGTACGCTTCTTAACATTATAATGACCTGTCACTGGAATAATTATAAAAACTGTCGGACGGGTGGCTTAGGAATGACAGCAGTCTGAAGATGGTTGCAGTTTTTCATCTCACACTGTAATTTGTGTTACAAACGGGATGACATAATTAATATACCCTCCATACTAAGGTGGATGGTATAAAAATTGTTTGTTTTTTGATAATACTGAACTAAATGTTAAAATCAGATCTATATTAAGATACACGAGGTCTGATTTTTTAACATGTATAAAGGTTAAAATTATTCAACATTTTTGTGTAGAAGGGCAGAAATATTGGGAAGTGTTTTGAGAGAGATACCAAAAGAAGTGTTCCGATAAATTCCATTTCCGAACAGATTTTGTGGTAGTAGAAATATTGATATGTGTGAAATTTAGAAAGAATCAGATACTTATTTCGCATTTTATGAACGCTATATCACATTTTCATAGTAGATCTTGGAATAAATATAGGGATGTGCGGAATTTAAAAGATTTGGATGCTCATTTCGTGTTCTTTAAGCTTTATGGTTATTCGCATTTTTTGTCCGTTGTGAGGTGGATCGATATATCCCATCTTCAAAACATATCTGGTGTTAATAAAAATATTGGTATCTGTGAAATTTGTAAAGAATCGGAAGCTTATTGCGCATTTATGAGTTATATTTTATTCATTTTGACCCTATTTGGGGGAGGTACCAGAATAATTATTCGATATAATCCATCTTCACATCAGATCTTGTGTTGGAAGAAAGGAATTGGATGTTCACTTCACGTTTTATGAGCTTTATGTTTATTCAAAATTTTGACCCGTTGTGGGGAAGTTACCAGAAGGAATGGTCTTTTCTATTATTACTTCATACCGGATTTGCGAATTTTGAAGCCAATCGGACTTTCACATTTCACTTTTTATAAGAGTTAAAATTATTCAAAATGTCGACTGTATACCGTCTGTAGCCATATGACTGAGAGTATAAACAGTCTATAACTCATACAATATTGCTCGTAGGTTCTTCATATCTCGTCTATACCTTTTTTTTTATATAACGAGACCTCAATCATAGATTTTTGAAACAACTCCACGAAATGCCTACAGTATATGAACCCTCAAAATAATTCAATGTTCCGAACTTAATAACAGATTTTTTCCGTAAATGAGAACGTGTTGAATTTTGACTAATTTTCACACTTATTTTACAAGGGAAACACACACTTTTTCTTTCAGAAGCTTTTCCTTTTTTCGCCATACGAATTTTTCTGTTAGCACAGACAAATACATAACATTTATAATAAAGCTTTAATGTGTAAAGCTTTTAGTATGAAACTGGAAGGAACTTGTAATAATATTAATACCGCTACGTCTGGTCGAAGCTTGAATGAACTTTATGGCAGCATTTCCACCCCCACGTGGAAATGTGTCTCTGCTATAATCTATCATTTTAGTACGGGGGTGTTTTTATGCTATAAAATCCACTCATCGTTTGCAGTTGACACACTAGATGGAGTTGTGTTAGCTTGGGCGCGCTCCATCACCATGAATGCAAAAACCATTAATGTCAATGAAATCTGCAAACAGCTATTTCTATTTGCTGTCTGCGAAAATTAATAATCGACTTTGTATTTCATTGGTGTCACTCTCAAAATCAAACTCTGGCAAACACTTCGAAGAAGTCTCGGCGTCTATCAGCTGTAGATTAAATTTGTTGCCTGTGGATGTTTCGTGAAAACTTTTAAACCTCAAGGCAGCCGTTGTGGTTCTGTTTACCAGGGGACAATGGCCTTCAAATTTGTTGCTGACATTTGGTACTTTGTAACAAAACAAAAATTATTTCTATTTTCAACATTGCTTCTTTTTGGTGACGGCATTCTTGCGGCCACTTGTTAGTATGTCAACATTGAAATCCTTTCAAAATTGTTTGTATTTAATTTCTTGAACTGAGTAATTAGACGTTTATTATGTTGACAAAATAAACAACAATGCATTCATTCGGTGAATGGACTCTGGCCTTTGGTAAATTTAATTGCACAATTACATCGAAGAGAGACATAAATATACATGTTTCTTAAATAAGCACATATGTGTATAGAGTCCTTTTTGCAAATACATACACATCAATTTCAACCAAAATCTATTGAAAGTGACATCAATTTGAAGAGATACATTAATTTCGTTTTGCAGCATTTGGTGGCTAAAAATGTTGTGCTCTAAACACCATATCTTACCATTAGATACAAAGGGGAACTTTAATATCAAATTTGAGGTTTACAGCCTATCCCTTCACCCAATACCAAATTTAGTACGATTCAGTACTTTTCATACAAATAAAGGGTGCATTTTCAAATCACCGCCAAATCTCAAAAAATAGATACCATCACTAATCTAAATATTATATTTCAGAATTTCATCTATGTCCCCTCTCTTAATATCAAATATAGTACCATTTAGTACTTTTTTATAATTATGGTACACATTTCCGAAACCACCTCTTATGTCCAGGCTACACATGAACAGTACCCTAATACCAAATTACGCATTTCAAGCACTATTTGTTCACCCAATCCCAAATTGTACCAAATATAGCATTTTCCGTACACTTATAGAACACATTCCCAATCCACCTATCAATCACAAAAATACCACAAACAGGGACCTCGACACAACGTTTCAAAATTCCAGATTTATCCTTTTATCCTAAAGCAAGCTGTTACAGATTTTCAAAACCACTGTTAAACTTACTTTTTAACCTTGATTCTCATACAAATTTAAATTTTTAGCTATATTCGTTCATATAATACCAAATGGTTCCATTTTAAGAGTTTAGTACCATTTTAGAACTTTTCGTAACCTTCGAAAGTTCTAAATTCCTAATTTTCCTTCTGTTTGCACAAACCAAAGTATTTAATTTTTAGGACTTTTCATACAGTTTTAGTACGAATTTTCTAAAACACGACTGACCTTCGAGATTCAATATCGTGATCGATCAATGTTAATTGTGAGTTTATTTGGTAATTTTTCTCATATCTGCACTCCAAATATCGCCCCTATTCCAAATTTCTGGAGGCATAGTATATATATTCTTGATTAGCATAAAATTCTATCACACTAGCTCCGAACGAAATGAAGCAGGTCAACGAAAGAACTACAAAATTGGGCATAACGCATAGAGTCATACAGTATGATAATACCAATTGCTATCAGTTTCACTCCAAACAAGGACCATTATTTACCATTATTCCTCAATACTGGAGGCCCGCTCAATGGGACAACGAGTACAAAAAGATCCGTAAACTTCTCGAAGAAAATGATATATTATATGCAATACTAATCGGAGACCTTAATTCAAGGATTGGTGAATTGACACAAGATTTGAGTGGAATTTATAGAGAACTATTTGCTGCAGGTATGGCCACACGAAAATCTCGGGACAAACTTACAAATAGAAAAGGGAACCTCCTAATAGAATTATGCACCAACAATAACCTTCTCATTCTAAATGGCAGAACTCGTGGAGACGAAGATGGCCATCTTACATACATAAGCGGAACAGGAGAATCCGTAAATGATATATGCGCAGTATCCCAGGAAATTTTAAGCCTTGTGGAGGAATTTGTAGTAGAGAATCAAACATGGTCAGATCATTTACCAATAAAACTCAAACTCAAATTTACTACAGAAAACACTAACATCAAAAATCTTAACCTGTTGCCTAAGCTCTTATGGGATAAACATAATATAAACAGATACCAAGAATGTATCCAAGAGAATTTGAATAAAACTCTGAGTAGGAAAAATGAAGTTACCTTAGACGAGCTTGGAAACATAATAAAAGCATCAGTAAAATCTAAAGTGAACAGAAAAGTGTTCACGCCAAAGCAGCCATGGTATGATTTCAAATGTCATAATGCGCGTAAAATTATGTTTTCTTTACTAAAAAAATATAAGAAAAGCAACACACTTGAGACTAGGAAAAAATACATAGAATCAACAAAGAAATACAAAACTATATGCACGTCCAACAAACAAAGTTACAACAGATACCTGTTAGATACAATCAACAATGTTAATGACTCAAAACAGTGGTGGAAAGCAGTGAAAACGATAAGGAACCAAAGATATCAAATCAGTACGTCAATATCCTCAAGTAGTTTTAAAAATTACTTTGAAGGTCTGTTGAATCCCCCGCATCAAGCTCTTGAGATAAGCTATGCTCAAAATTTTATAACTGATCCAATTCTAGACAGTGAAATAACCATGTGCGAGCTAAAAAGTATATTGAGAAAATTGAAAATAAACAAAGCGCCAGGAGAGGATAGAATTTCATATGAACACATTATATACGCAACTGATGATTTTCACAAACAATTGATCAGGAGATATAACGCAATTTTAAATAAAGGATGTATTGATAATGCTTTTAAGAAAACCATAATTTTCCCAATCCACAAAAAAGGAGATATGTCAGAACCATCAAACTACCGAGGAATTGCTTTTATGAATAGTATTGCTAAAATAATGATGGGAATTTTAAATCAGAGACTATATGATTGGGTAGACTATCATCAAGTGCTATGCGAATACCAGGCAGGTTTCCGAAAGGGCTATTCGACGGTGGATAATATATATAACCTGGCATCAATTGTGAATATTAAACAAAACGAAAATAAGAAAGTATATGCTTTCTTTGTGGACTTTAAAGCCGCTTTCGATAATGTCTTCAGAAAATCCTTAATATATAAACTAGCTCGACTTGGTGTTTCGAATAAATTTCTAAAACTGATTGAAAGTGTATACAACAACACAGAGTATGCGGTTTGGACAGGCGAAGAACTGTCAGACTACTTTGAAACCAGTTCAGGAGTGAAACAAGGTTGCCTCCTGTCGCCATTGTTATTCTCGCTCTATATAAATGATCTACACGAACATCTAGAAGGAGGTATTGATATTCACAATATAAACATTAGGCTTTTGCTCTATGCAGATGATATTGTGATTTTGTCAGATGATATAAAAACGCTACAACAAATGATCTCAAACCTGGAAAGCTATTGTGAAAAGTGGAATCTGAAAGTCAATATGAGCAAGTCTGAAATACTCATATTCAGAAAAGGAGGAAGGCTGGGCAGAAATGAGAAATGGAAGTTTAATGGAAATGAAATTAAAAATGTAAATGAGTACAAATACTTAGGAGTCACCTTTACCCCGAAACTTTCATTTTCAAAACACATTGAGAAACGAACTAGCCAGTCAAAGATGGCAATAAACTCTACATGGATTGATTTCCTGGGGAAGAAAGATGTAAATATGAAAATGAAATGGAAGGTCTATGAGGCTGTTTGTAGATCAGTACAAACTTATGCTGCACAAGTATGGGGATATTCGTATTTTGACGAGGTCGATAAGTTGCAGCGTTACTTTTTAAAGAAAATCCTCAAAGTACCAAGTTTTACACCTAACTACGCTCTTATGCTTGAGACCAATGTCGAAAATTGTCACTTATATACACTCAAACTAAATCTAAAGTATATACATCAAGTATTGTACAGATACCAAGAACATCGGTTACCGACAATATTAACCAATATATTGCTAGAAAAAGAAGGATTCTGGGTAGCAAATATTAAAAGTATGGCTCATCGGTTAAACGTTCAATGGCCAAATACCGCAAATGAAGATGAATGGACATTATTTAGCAAATGCATTATTGGTAAAGAAAAAACATATTTATTACAGGAAAACTTGAGGCTAAAACAACAAAGCCAAGATAGAATTTATAAACATTTAGACTATAGAATGGGAGAAATGTACTTTACTGACTCTTTTACTAGCGATCAGATTTCATGGATCTTTAAAGCACGATGTGGACTTATCAATTTGAATGCAACCAGATTTAACACTGAAAATGCAGAACGTAAATGTACGTTATGTAATCTGATTCGTGATGAAACATTGCAGCATTTCATTGGAGAGTGCCCTATCCTGGCAGAATTTAGGACGAGTTTTTTCCAATCCGCAATACTATCCGAAGAAGATGTGATTAACATTCTGGATGGTCGTGAAGCACATTATTGGAGACAGCTGGTCATATATTTAAAAATATGTTTAAATTATAGAGAATTTCTAATATTTGAATACAACTCAGTATAAACATAAATTAACTTGTAATCAGATACGACAGACGGTTTATTAAAAACCATTGTCTATTTAATAAAAAAAGTATATATTATATATATTATTTATATATTATATACATCCTAATAAATAAATAAAATAAATGAAGCAGGTTGACAAAATTTTACTGAAATGTATATTATGTCTGCAGCACTTTTGGTATTGAAAATGGGCCATGCAGGTCCACGTCTTCGTATAGCTTCCATACAACGGTACCTCCCGATATTCGGTATTTTGATGATTTTAGCGACATTATTCACCGGACTTGTTTCAAATATGGTATTTGAAGTTCGTGATGGATACTACAGCCTAAGACAGAAAATTGTCTGTGCGCGTCCTCGTTTTGGAATAGCCCCCATATAATGGTACTTCCCTATATTCGGTTTTTTATGATTTTAGCTACGTTATTCACCTATTTTTTCAAGTTTCGCATTTGAATATTGTAATGCCTTATGACAAAAGTTGCCTATATAGGTCCACGTCGTCGTATAGACCCTAATATAACGGCTACATTCGGTAATTTTAAGATTTTAACAGAACTTTTAACACATTTTATTTTTTTTTAAATGGCCAAATTCTTTACAATTGGTGGAGGGTATTCAAAGTTCGGCCCGACCGTACTTACAGCTTTTTTACTTGTTAAAAATTAAATGTGACTGTTTATTATGTTAGAGTGTTATAAAAGTTGGAAATTGTAACGCTTATTTCTTTTCAACACATGAGCAATAATAACACATGCTAATCTCTGGCCAAATCACCGTTCCAAATACCTACTTTGGTTTATAAATCATTCTGTAAACAACAACTAATTTCAGGGAAAATGGAGATTTTCAATAGAAACGCATTTCTCTAACACGACGATTTTGAACTGTCCGATACACATCAATGGTTTTCCATTCGTTTCGTTAAATATCCTCTTAGACAGCGATGACAATCGAGCCATGAAATATTTTCCATTCGTAGAAGTCTGAAAATAAGAAAAAAACGGACTTTCAACAGAATCCTCAAAAAGTGGTCGTATTTACTGTCTGCGGCTTACATTGTCATTTAATGAGCATTTTATTTGTGCGGCGGTGTCAACCAACCTCAAGTGAGCTAGTCGTGAGCTAGCAGAGTAAAAGTTTCACTTTTCAAAAAGGTCACTCGATTCCTACGGAATTCTATTCAATTGACTGGCATCTAAAGGTCACTTCGATCCCGGTTTGTTTGGCCTTCTGGGCAATGTCCTTAAATTTTATTTCAACAAATGTAAAGGCTGCATTTCCATTCATTGATTTGTTGGATGAATTAGGTTTCAGTTGTGTGCTGTAGCCAACTTGTAGCAAGTCTTTGTGTGTAGCTTGTGTTTGGTGCAGCGATGCGGCGGTGGTGTGTGTGTGTGTGTGTTTTGCCAAAAAGTTTGTAATAAATTTAAAGTTTTCTTTATTCGATTTTATTGATCGCCTACGGGAATTTCGCCTAAATAACCTTGTATTTGAATACACAAACACACATAGATTGTAGGTGTAGGTCTGGAATTTATAAGCGTGACAAATAACTCAAGTTAGTAAAGTATTCATTGAGTTCTATACAGTTGGTCGGCCATAACAGGATTACATTTAAAAATCACAACATTTTAAAAAATTCTGGGCAGATGATTGATAGAATTTATTCCAAGAGGGTTCTCTCCGGATTACCACCATAGATTTGTTTAATACCTAGATTTCATTTAGATTTACAATTAATGTTATAGAAATTGTTGCAGATAAAACGGTGTGTCCGTCTATCGACTGAATGGCTCACCTGATAGTTGTAACGTTTCCCATTCACAGTCCCATTAATTCTCGATGTTGTTTTGTTCTATTTTGAACGTTACAATGTCGGCTTTGAAAACGTTAAGTTAACGACTGTCGGGAAGAAAGCCTCCCTTAGCACGTAAACAACAAATCATGCAGCAAACAAGCACATTGAACACCCCACCCCAGAATATCCTGGCACTTTGGCCGTGGCATTCAAACTGCAACCATGGCTGTCATGCCCCACTCCCCCTCTCCTTCTTTCTTTCTTTCTTTGTTCCCGTGTTAGTGACATTTGGAGGTTACCCAACAGATTTGTTGTTTCACACGACGCTGCCTGCCGGGAAACATTCACTTCCAGATTTTACGTTCACAATAGCCGGAATGGCTGTATTGCTTCAATCACACTTCGTCGAGTGCAGACAAACACTTGTTCCGAGCGGAAGGGTTGAAAATGGCAACGCAGGTTGGAGGAGAAAGCCGGGCTTCCGTTTTGTACAACATCACGTTAGACTAATTTTTTGTTGTTGTATTCCAGCGACATAGTTTCAGATGTTGCCTCAAGTTGCTGGGGGATTTAGATTTGCAACAGAATAATCCAATGGTCATTTGTGCATGTCAAAGCATTTTTGTGTTTTTTTCTTCTTTTCTTTGTTTCTCCTTGAAAACGTTGCAGTCCTGATGCAGACGTGTTCTGTGATGTAAATGTAGTGAAGCGAAAAAAAAAGGAAAACGTGAAACGACATTGCTCGCTGTGAGGGATAACAAATACAAAAGCGAATGGATGCGTAAGCGAATTATGCTAACAAAGACGTTAACTTTGGAACGTTCAAATTGGCCTAATCTGTTGCGCGTTTTCATTTGGTTATGTGTTTTATGGTGTGTTTTTCTATTTGCATATGTTATATGTTAACGGTCTTAAATTAATCTGAAACTAGGGATGTTTTCTGAAGATGTTGATAATTAAAGAATACTATTTTTTGACTACTGATGATATAACTAGGAACTAGGATGAAATTGTTGAAACCTTTTAATTCTGAGCTTTTGGAGTGCCGAATATTTGGGGGACGGAAAATCATTTTTTTTTTGGGATGAAAATCCTTGATTGTATATATTGGTCAGAAAATTCCATAACTTTTATGTGACCATAACTTTTATGTGACCATAACTTTTATGTGAGAAATACGCGAATATTTTAAATTTCTGCGGAATCACAAATATACGCATATATAGCAAAATATATACAATCTCATATATCAAAGAAGGGGATGTTAATTAGACCTCTTATAACTCAAGAACAGTTGGACGGATTTTGATAATTCTTACCAATTCAGAATGACCTCTTGGCCAAAAAGATTTAAATCAAGAAATATCGAACAACATAATGCCAAATATTAAACTAAAACATAGAAAACTATACAGGGTGGGATAAAAAAAACTGCAACAAAGTCAAACGTCATAATTATTACATTTTTTTAAATTTTATTGAATGAAAGCAAAAATTTTCGGAAATAGCATCAAATTTTACAATAAGTTTAGATTTGTTCGAATTGGTCACCTTTGTCACCAATTATGGCCTTCAAACGACCAATGAAACTGTCAAACGCTGCCCGAATGTTGCTCTGCGATATTTTGGCCCATTCCCGGCGAAGCGCTTGCTTGAAGTGATCGACACTTTGGTATTTTTTGGTGTAAACCTTGCTTTCCAAAAGACTCCAGACACAATAGTTCAACGGATTGGTATCCGGAAATTTTGGTGGACATTGTGCTCTGCAAATGATGCGAGGAACCTCATTTTCTAACCATTCTTGGGTGGCGGTGGTGCTGAGTCCTGTTGGAATGTCCAAGGTCTGCGGCCAAAATGTTTGCGTGCCCAAGGCTTTTATACACCCTCCAGAATATTTTCGTGAAAATATTCGGCATTTATTCTGATGCCACGGTCGATTAATACGAGCGGAGAGCGACCATCGGCTGTTATGGCGGCCCACAAAATCACAATGGCCGGCGCTTGAGTTCTGGTGGCCAACCGAAGGTGCACATTTTCAGCCGACCACTTTGGCAAGTAAACCCGATCCATTTTCGGCCACTACGACGCGGGTTTCGATCAAGTCGCTTCTTTACTTTTCGCACCATTTTTGCTGATGTTGCTGTTTTCTTCCGTCCACTTCCTTGATGTCGGGCTACACTACCAGTATCACGGTAACGATGGTACGAGGTTTTCCAGCCAAATATTAAGAAATCACACTATCACGTTCGAATTCCATCACGAATAACCTTTTCTATGGAAAATTCTCACCAAAATGCTTTCGTACGCTTGTAACCAATGTAATGAGCTGTCACTGGAATAATTTTAATAGCTGTCGGACGAGTAGCTTAGAAATTACAGCAGTCTGAAGTTGGATGCAGTTCTTTCATCTCACCCTGTATAGGGCAAATGCTACGTAGATGTGCATGACTTCGTGGTTTCGATCCAATCGTATGTTTTTGGAAAATATCGGTTACAGATCAATGATGATTATTCAAAAAGTGCAGAAATCGTCAAACTCTAGCCCATGCTTACCTAATTGATACGATGCATAATGAAATATCGCTATATATTTGTTTGCAGCATTTAATGTTTATTTCTGCAATAACATGTCTTCATTCAAATCCCTTTTTGGAATATTGTTGAAATAAATTGTGGCCTTATAATAACAGTTCAATGGTTTCCTACTAGTATAAAATAAATGTGGTATCATATATTGCATTTTGCATACCTAAAAACAAAATTTTATCTCATCTTTAAGACCAATAGAAAGTTAAAGAGTCTATAGTTTAAGGTATGAAACTTAATCCCAGAAAAGACAGTTGTTAGTATTTTTAATATCTTTTGTACGAATCTCTAAAAATCCCGCCTCAGGTACTCCCCAACAGCTGCATAAAATGCTACATTTAAAGTGACAATTTCTATACTTATTTCATCCCGCAATCCCAGATTTTAAGTGTTTTGCAACCTACTTAACTCGCATTAATGATATTTCAATAATGTGTATAAAGCTCTGGTACATCACTTTTAGATCCTTTCCCCACTGGGTCACAATTGAAAGACTATTTCATAATTTTTCTGTTTGCTGTCCAAAATCAATGCAAATAATTTATGGATTTTACACAGCCCCCACCTTCAGTTCTTAAGTTTTTCTGCATCGCAGTATTAAGTAGTTTCTCGTCGTCCGTGTGTGTGTGTGTCAAAATTTCCCTACGAAGTCTCCTTCGATTCCTTCGCTGCTGTTTGTC